CTACCTTTGTTGAGGGTACCCTTTGCAGGTTGGTTTAAAGGGAAACCCACAGGGAAACCACAATTTGTTGGGTGCTCCTATTTCGACACAGATCCATTTGGAGGACCAAAGATGGCAAGCATGAGTCCAATGAAGTATGAGGCCAATGTGCAGTGGCACAGACACGTCAAAACCGTTGGTCGGCTGTACGGCAATGTTTGAAGCAACGCGAACCTTCTGTGACCAGATGACCTGGTGGACCATCACTAAGTCACCCAGTAGTGCCCTTTTACCCTTTTTTGGGGGAGGGTGCCCCCGCGAACATAGACTATGGAAAAAAGGGTACCCTTATTCTAACCTCTCTACTGGAGGACCTAGATCCAATTGGGAAGATTGAGCACACGAAAGTGGGCTGGACGGGTCAAATTGAGCCTCCCAAGACCCTTGTTAGTCGAAACCGCAGTCTTGAAATATAATAGCAATGCTGGTACAAACAAACAATGCCCACTTCTCTGGCCGAAAAGGTGATGTAATCGAAACCGGGGAAACTTACTGGTGCTCAGGGAATGAGAAATGGAAGGACCCCCACACTTTTGGGAGCGCCATGAGCTCGCGGGTTTGCGTTGCCCGGCGGCCGCTGGATTCTCTCTTCAGGTCATGCTGGATGACGTAGGCACGGGCCATGAAGCTTGGTTCGACATTGAGCGGGGACTCGTTAGCCATCGAATGGGTGTACCAAGCTACCCCCTTTATCAGTTTTCAGTATGGTTTATGCTGGTTTGCGAGGGTTTGTTTGCCTTGTTATACTGTTATTTACTGTTATAAATTCCAGAGGGCAGGTGGCAGCGCTTGCCAATTGATCACCAGAGTGTTTAGTCAGCCAAGTTTTGGTGGCGAATTGAAACACTCGCTTTTTGGTGAACCTCGGAGCCATTCTGATTCGGGTCTGTGCTTTTCTTTGGTGATGTACCCTTTCCAGCTTGTTTCAAAGGGACACGACATTTCGAGCGCCACTTCTGGGGGGTCCAACTCCGGCACGGCATGCCTTCTGCCGGAGCGCAAGTTCTCCGAGTCCGGAGAGCGTCCGTCACAAAGTTGGCAAGTTGGGCTCTGGTCCATGGAACCCACCAGAAGCTCCAAAAATCGTCTTCCAGGAGGTTCCCCAGACACGTTTCATGTGGATGGGAGGGTACACATTTTGACATCCGTGATTCGTTCCACCAGATTTCGCATTCTTGACGTGAGGTTTCGTTAGCGCGAAACCCATGCCGGCAAGGCTGAACGGCAACGATTCTTACTTCCGTTTGCGAAAGACTATTGTGCTTTTCCTTTTCGGTTTGAAAGATAACCTATCACCACTGGACATAATTGTTTTTGCAGGGGGCTTGAGTTGAGCAAATGGAAGTTTAGATTTCGGACAGCTAGCACACTTGACAAACAGCAGCTGCCCCGCGCATTCCCATGTCCGGGCAAACCCCAGAGGAGCTTCACAGATTTGGCAACTCCATGTTGAACTGGAAAAACTGCCAGACCCACAGGAGGCATTGGAACTATATGACTAATTAAAGAAACCAGTGGGGCCAAGCAAAGCAATGGAAAGCAAGTAGTCAAGCAGAAGCCACGTTAATGCTCTCCAAAAAAGGACGCGGCACCTTTATGGACCGGGAGTTTCTGTGGTTTGCTTTGGCTTCGTAATTTCGTAGCCCCTGGAATCGCCCTTTTGGCCAGGCTACGGACGGCGGGAGGTGAAGCCGCGGCAGATTTTGCCGGCGGCGCAGGCGCGGGAATGTCCTGCGAAACCGCCTGGCTGGTCGTAAAACGGTGTGACCGAATCGCGGAGAGACGCTTGTTTTGGACACATTTTTTTCCCCAACAGCTGAAAGCCGAGGGTCTCAGGTTTGGGGGTGGTTTGTGGTTCCGGTTGGTCTGGTGCAGGCCAGGTGTCAGGTTCACAGGAAGGGCCTAAGTTTATGCATGGTCTGGTTTGTGGTCCCTTCCGTATCTGCAGAACCCACACGGGCGTGTTGCTGTTGGGGATATCGCCTGAGCTTATTTTCCATTGAACCTTAACGACCTTTTGCTCAGAGGGGACGAAACAGTTCTGGCCCCAGTCGGTAGGTGGTTTATCGCATGATTTTGTCACTCCAGAAAACTAAGCGAACAAACCGCATCCGACAACACCCTGGCAACTTGCTGCACGTGAGCAGCTTTCTCTTCTTCCTCCACTTGCAGTATTTGGGGCAACCCACCTGAGATGGACGCTGACTGAACCTTGAAGAGGGTCCAGAGAGCTTGGGTTTCATGGCTTGTGGGAGGGTGCTCTCCTGAATTCCCCATGAAAGCAGCAGCGTTTTGAGAGGAATATCCTTTCCGGACCCGTGTTCGTGGTTTCAGATTCAATTGCAGGGGAGCAACTCCAATCGGATTGCTCCGGGCATGATTCAGTCATGGTCTGCGATGAGCTCTCGAATCCCGGATGCCTATGCCAGTTGGCCGATTGCATGGAAGAGGGCCTTTTGCAGGATGCGCGGGAGGTGCGGCTGCGAGTAGGGTGGTGGGGTGGTGGGGTGGTGGGGTGGTGGGGTGGTGTGTTGGTGGTAGCTGGACAAATTATAAGAAGCTCGCCTTCGACAAAAACTCCCATGATGAAGTTTGCTTGGGGATTCCTTTTTTCAGGCAAACAGATTGGCGCCCGTTGTTTCCAATAAACGAAAGGGACCCGGGTCTCAAAATAACGTAAGCACTACTAATCCTGGCAGGGAAGCTTGTCCTTGTTGTTTGCTGCTCAGATGGTAGGCATCGCATGTTCAGGTTGCTACTGTTCTGGGTTGGTTTTTTGCACCAGCGGGAACCGTCCGCCGGAGCCGAAGACCAGCGACAGTTGGCAAACAAAAATGCAACCTCACCAGTTGGGGGTTGCATTCCTTTCGTGGGGCGTCCCTTGTTTCTGGGTGAGTTTGACATTCCCCGGATAGCTTTCCTGAGAACACGGGGCCTGACGCTTTTTCCGGCAGCTCCTTCATCCCAAACGCGTTTGGCCCGTGCATTTCTTAATAACTCCAATGGCACAGGCGCCTTGTGCCCATCTGAAGGTAGGTTCAAGTCTTGAAGACGGCATGGCCAACTCTTCCTTCGCCAGTGAAGCGTGCGGTCTTCGCAAGCTTTAGCAGGCGCACCAGTACGTCATCGCGCTATGCTGCGTCATGGCGCAGCACTCGATGACCAGAAAAGGGTTGAACCCATTTTTGAAGGAGTCCCTTTTTTTATGTAGAGACAATACGCGACAAAGCGGTTTTTGTAGAAGGACCTGTTGGTTTTGCAGTTCTTCATCTCCAGCCAACACCAACAAATCTTGACCTGTGTCCGCACCGAGTGCTGAACCAGCCGGGTTTTCCCCGGGAACTTGTTGGCCGACGAAGAACACCCCGCTCCCGGTGAGGTGCTCTTCATCACCTGCGCGGGTTCCGCCATCTTCTCCCTGAAGAACCCCTCGGTGGTGCCTTTTTTTTTGGGTGGGGGGGGGGCGCGGGCGGCGGGGTTTTGGTGATCGTTTTCCCCAAAATAGCTCGGCCCGGGGTAGTTTGGGGCAGCTTTCGGAGGGTTCCAGGGGTGTCCGGGGCTGTTGGGGATGCCACCTGTTTTTTTCTCCTTTTTTTTATTCTCGGTTTTGGAACGAAACTGGTCGAGAGCAGAAGGTTTGTTCGCTAGGCCTGCTGAAGCTTGCAGATTGGTGATTATAGGAGCTGAGACTTTTTGCCAAATGGGTGTGTCTGTTTTTTTAAGTGTTTTTTAGGGGCCGCCAAATATGTTGTTTTTTCTGTTGGTTTCCCACTAAAGCCACACAAACAGGGTACTCTCAAAAAAGCCACACCCAAATGGCTTCATGCCTTATGTCACCGTGTTGCAACACCAGACCGCTTCACAGAGTAAGACACTATTGGACATGGGAAGGAAGGTGGCGGGGGAGGAGCATCTTCCGCCCAAGCGGACGCCATGTCAAGGGCTTCGAACTCTTTGGACGCTTTGAGCCTGTTGAACCTGGATGAGAACCAGCCATGGAGGTCGCTTGCCAACTGCCGTTTCAGGGCGCTCTAAAAATATGGTGCAATGAAGTACCTTTAAATGCCAGTGTGTCAACGCCAGTGTCCTGGCCTTGAAGGAACATTTGTTTCCTAGTGTTCGGTTCTCTCGGACTTGCGTGCTAGCTTTGTGGTTATCTTTTTGGTAGAAGGGTTTGATATGGTTTGACTTACCCTCCCTGACAGGGGCCCGGTCCTTTTAGAAGGAACATGGTCCAAATCAGGACCGATTCCCCAAACCGTCAGGTTCCGTGTGAATTGGTGGGAGGGTGGGTGGGCTTGACTGCGCGCGCGAGCGTTTCAGGTGCCGAGTCGCACCAACCCCTTGCTGGCGCGCTGAGTCGGGCGAGTCCGAGTGCGGCGACGCCGGGAATGGCGCCGGGAATCGGGAGGAACCCAAAGACCCACCGGACATTCAGCCCCCCAGGTGTTTTGTTTACTGAGATACTGAGAGGATTGATTTGGGAGATCCAAAGCCCAACAGGGACTAAGCCGAATCCATTACCTCTTGAAGTCATGGAACATTGGAGTCTCTCGCAGGGGCCACTTGCAAGGCAAGGCGGATCCATATATCGAGAACGTGCGGTTTCCACGGCTTGACGAAAAGAGGAGTTTCTGCAGAGCTGTCGGATTGAAATTTTGATCCATCAGAACTTTATTAGCAAACAACATACGCCTTCCCGTATGGTATGGAATGGGTCTGACACTCCATCCCTGCCCAATTCTGTGAGGGGACGGGCGGGTGCCATGGCTAGTCTTAGAATGTCTTTTGGATGTGAGCCATTCACAACGTGATAGAGCCAATGAATGGAACTGATTTAAAATGAAAACGTTTCGGAGTCTGTCAGAGCGTGCAATGTTTCAATTTGATGTCAGGTCTCCCTGCTTTCTGTGGGGTACCTCAAAAACAGAAACCCACGTATGAGCCTTGCGCTGTCGCCATTTGGCTCAGCCCAGCAGAAAAGAGGAGGGGCGCTCCCTCCCAACCTCCAGGTGGGGTCGCTTAGCGGCCGAAATGGGCAGTCGCAGTTTCCACGGGTTTGTTGGGTTCCCCAAATGGAGGTCTCAATGCGGGCCAACACATTCAAGTCATGTGGCTTGTAAGCATCCATGGCTAAGCATCCATGGCTAGGATGTGAGACCTGTCACTCAAATCCACTGAGACTGAGATGGATTCCGGCCATCCCGTCTCCCGGTGAAAGCGTATCACGTGCGGTCTGAATGATTCCTGCACGCCACGAGGCGAAGTTGTCATTGGCCGGTGCCATTCATTTTTTCCAAACTAGGCTTCCATTTGCTTGGAAATGGTCTTTAGTTTCCCCTGCGTCGGTTTTAAATGGAATTTATCACTACTGGACATATTTTTAGTTTTCCCAGTGGACTTCAGCAAATGGAAGTAGACATCGACCGAGCAGCCGAGGCGAGAAATGGGTCGCCCGTGCCTCAGCTTTGGCCATTCCTTCCCGTGCCCTGGGCGCTTGGCCAAGTCAGACCTCTATTCCGATGACTCGTTTGGTTTTAGGCTTTGGACCCCCGAAAGTGGCGCAACGGTTTTCCTTTTTGCTTCCCTTCAAACCCACCAAAAGAAGGGGGAACCTCCAAGACAGCCCGACATTTTTTCCCCGGCACCGTTTTGTGCAGTTGAGACAATGGTTGGCTTAGTGTACGTGTTGCTCATTTTTGGCAGGCTTGGTTGCTTTGGGGCCAAGCTTGGGGTTCTAGGGCTGGGTTGTTTTTCGTTGGTTTATGGGCTCAGGATTGGTGTTGGGGGGGTTGAGTTTCGAGCTGGGGGTTGTTTACGGTGGTTCAGGGCCATGACTTAGGGTGGGCGAAGCGTTGCTGATGGCTTGATCTGAGTTCGATGTAGGCTGGGGGCTGCCGAATTATCCAGCCACGCCCAAGATGACCGGAAGAGCGGAATGCGAGCAAAGGGTCGGCGCTATGGGATGGCATCGTAGCTCGTGTGGATGAACGAAATGCCGCACCTAAGAAGCCCTGGAGTGATGCGTCCCTGCTACTAGCGAACGTTATGGTTTCAACCCTGGTTTCTTAGGTGGTGTGAGATGCACTTTGTCCATCAGTATGTCGAGGCAAAGCACCCGGTAAATTATTTCCAGATGGGTGGAATCCAACAGCTACTGGTACCGCCGTGGCATCGTAAGCGTAGATGAGTGGAGGGCAAGGTTTGCAGTATTGGACGCCCCAGACTCAATACCTAATGAGTACCTGGGTTGTGTTCTGGGGGTTTGTGAAGCAACTGCTTATTTTTGTGAAACAACACAACCTCAGCTCATGAAGGATTGCAACCCAAGGGCATCCTTCCATTTTGCGAGGCCATTCCTTCGTGAAACTAGGGTTCTTGTTGGAGGCAGTGATCCATTCAACAGGCCGCCCGTCCGTTGCCAACATGGCTTGACTCTTCCACAAATCGTGTCTGTCAATATTCCCAATAGTCTGTGGTCTATTTGGGAGGGATATTCAGGAACTCACTAAACTTTATTATCATGTGCGTTTGGGACAGCCGCATATTTTGAGCGCGACCACATGAGGCATGTATGGCAAGGGCAAGGGTATCGCTGGAGCCTCAGAGCTTTGCTAAAACGTCGGCACTGGAACTGCTTAACATGTGTCACATGAGAGGTTTCAATCCTCACCATGTGGGGGCTGTACCTGCAGTACAGTGCCAAAGTACCATGCTTCTTCGCCGAAACTGATGTTGCGGCTGGTGACGTTCCCTTGTCAAGCAGGCCCAGATTTGCAACTTGTTACAGCGAGAAGCTTTGCCACAGCTGGAAGCTTGGAATTTGGGGTCTTTGCGCAACAAGCTCAGAGCATCCAGGAGGGTTCCGAAAGGGTTCCAGGGCAGGTTTCCTTCGACAGGTGCTATTGATGGGTCCAGTTTTGACACTCGCATCAAGGAGTGCTATGTCCAAAACTCTGAGTTGCAGGGCCCTCTTTGACTCATCCCTTTAAGCCTTTGGCAACAGATTCAGAGGGTGCATCACGGAATCTCGGCAGATCGCGACGTAGGTTTCGACGTCACCCAGGAAGGTTCCAGTCTCCAGGTCTTAGAGGTCTGTGAATGAAACTTTGGTCAATCCGACTGGCAACTCAGCATCGACCACCCGCGATAAACAAGTCGGAATACCGAGCTGTTAAGAACTTCTCTATAGAAGCTTACCCTCCACTTACCTAGCTGCTGGCAAATGACTGGTGGACAAGCCCCATGAAGACTTCCAGAACCGGGTTCCCAATTCCGAATCCAAGCGGAGCTTGGTCGAGCTCCTCATTTTTGTCATACCTTCAACAGGTGACCCCTTGGCGTTGACAGGTAGGGTCATCCCTTTAGAGATTGTATATCAGACCCTCGGGGCGATTCCCCATTCCTTTCAACCATCGTTCTTTTAACAAACGGCCCTTTTGCAACTTGGCTCAAAAAGTGTTGTTTTTCTAGAAAGGATCCCTAGGTGGTGCAGGATGTCGTCCATCCACAGTATGGGGGAACTGCAACTGAGTTTCTCATTTCTCACCGCTGCGAGCCAGAAGTTCCCAGCCAATGTGTAGCCTGGGCTGACACGGTTTGTACTTCAGTTCACTGGCAAACCACACCCCTTGTGCACCTACATACTTGATATATACATATAATATTATATATATATATATATCTATACACATGGATACACTTGTTATATATACGATTTATGTGGGGATGTATATGTATAATCTCTATATATATATACATACATACATACATGGATACAATCATGGTGTGTATTTATGTATATATATATATGTATGGGTTATTTTCCTTGGAATTATTTTCCGAGTTGATTTTCACGCAAGAGGCACAGTCCTCTGATTCTGGATGAATGACCAGTCGCTGACAGCTTTTCCCAGTTCCAGACCCCCGAAGGCCAAGCATCTACTCCGAAATTCGCATACCGCCAAAACATGGGCGTTTTCTCCCCAAGGGAGGCTCTTCTTTGATGGTTTTTGGGGTTGCTTTGGAGCTTCCAAACTTCAGGTAAGCCCTGATTGGTTTGGATTGGTGGTTTCGATTTGGATTTGAAGCCCTGGCTTTTGTAGCGGGTATATGGTTTCACCACCCCAGAACACCAAACCACCGATTCGGCTCCAGACCAATCAAGGGTAAGATGGTCTTCGATAGGAACTCTGGTTCTAGGGAACTTACAACCATGGCTTTGGTGGGTTACAACCAGGTTCACCACTTGGCTGTCTCCCAGACCGAAGTGGGACCACAAGTAGGACCGCAGGGTTTAGTCCTTGGCTCCATGTACCAGGACAACCCATTTTGGGTACCCATTTTGGACCCCCAGAGCATCTAAGTGGGGTGACTCCAAGCTTTCGGTTCTCTCCGCGAGGCCTCTTCGGCGATGCCCTACAAGCGAGCGCCGCCCTCCTGGCTGAAGATGAAGCCGGAGGACACGGAGAGAGAGACCAGCGTCCGGGTGGGCGGCGAATTCCAAGCAGAAAGAAGCCAAATCCTTGGCGACTCCCAGCTCTCCGGTCCCTCAGCCTTTTTTTTTATAGTGGTGTTGCCGAATCTAACCCACCAACAGTTAGTCACTTTTAGCCGGGGATACGCCTACACGGATGGCACTTTTGGCTTTATTGAGTTGTCCTAAAGGAATTATCCCATTTACTTAAGAATACTGTATATCTTCCCCTGTTGGTTTAAATGGAATCCATCATTGCTGGAGGTTTTTTCCAGGGGACTTAACAACTGGAGGAAATTTCAATAGACTTTTTCCCTCGCCGGGGGTTCTTGAGGCTGCCTTCGTTCAAAGGGAAGCGAGGGAATGGGCGGGAAAAGTGGAAGGGAAACACAGGGGGCAGGCGGTGTGGATGGACGAAATCCAGGCCAGACACCAGTTAGATGGTTTGTCAACCAGTATTCAGCGCTTTCAGTGGACTTGGTTCAGTGCAACAGATGTGCCAAGTTCGAGTCATCAAGCCTCAAGCAGTCAACCAGCAAGCGGTCAGCCAAAGCGCAGGATTGCACCGAGCACATCTGCAAGCTCGCCAAGAAGGGGCGTCTCGGCATCACATCTGTGCGGTTCTCTGGTAGACGCGGTGCATCTTGAGTTCGAGGGGATGCTAGATGAATCAGCTCAAGGTCAATAGAGACATCCGAAAGCACAAAGACGGCTAAACAATCAAGTTTTTGAGTCTTGTAAGGCTCTTGGGCCGTAGCACTGAAATTAACAGGTTGCTCTACGAACACGACTGACCTGCCTTTCCAAGCTTTTTGGCCATTCGGTTGGATCTTTGGACTTTAACTATTTGGAAAACGATCGATTTTCCATTGGACCCGTAGAGGGGTCAACAGCAACCAAGCCACATAAGGCTTACCAAAGTGTGAACATCTCCTTCAAAGGCCCCTTGTTGATGTGCAATTGACAGAGTCTCCAGAGGCTGCGGTGGCCTCCGTTTCAGGCTCACACCCTCCCAGATCGGCGTGACGCTGAGGCGTGGAAAGGGTATTTGCCCTTTTTAGATGACCCGAGTGGGACAAATGCATGGATTCTCTCCTCAAGTGTAGGCTCCCTGTTGCGCGGTTGCTTTGGTGTCCTGTCCTGTGGCTCGTTGCTTGGGAAGTTGTCAAACAGCCAGCCATCCGCATGTCTAATCAGATCCAGCATGAGTTAAAGGACAGCTGCGATTGACTTCCATGTTCTTGGTGGGAAGATAGTAACTTGGTGACTCCCAGCCATTCGGTTCCTTAGCTTTTTACTTTTTTGTGTTTAGTGATTGGATTTCCATACTTAACCCACTAAAAGTTAGTCTCTTTTAGCGGGGGATCTGGGGGCAGCCCAGGTAAGAACCAACGCTGAACATCAGCATTGACACTTCGAGCTTCCGCCTGCCACAAGTTGGTGCACTTGTAAAAACCCTTCGACCGTGTGGGTGGCTCTTTTTTTAATCGGGCCCTCAAAATGGCGGTTTTCCTTTTGGCTTCCTTTGAAAGCCAGCCAAAAGAGGGTTCCCCTAAAAACGACAGAGCTATGTAAAACCCGTTGACCACACTTATTTGGCTGTGGGTCAAAACCAATGGGATCCCATTTTGGTTGGTAGGTGAATTCACCACCCATTTTAGGCTTCCTATTTTAGTGGTTGGATTGGGATGTTCACTGGGGGCTAACCGGGCTTTTGACCCATGGCCATGTCGCTTCTTTCTTTCGAACCGGGCTCCCTTCGAAAGATCTGATGCGGCAGGGATAGCTTCGGCGTGCCGCAGGCTGGGTGAGCTTGCGTCTCTGTCTGTGTGGCAGGCAAAAAAATACATAACACAAATCGTAGGCTGTAGTGGCTACACTTTAATTTTTCATAGGCAAAAACAATTTCAGCCAGGAAATCCATTTCGCAGCACTCGAAAACCATGGCTGAAACCACACCGTTTGCTGGTATTTGCAGGGGTTCTTGGATGGTGCAGGATTTGGTTCATCCACAGTAGGTCCTACCAGTAGGTGTCCCTTTTTTAAGGTCAGCTTGGTTAGACATAGATGGGTTCTGCACTGGTTCAGATGGTTTTTAGTCCATGTACCAGGGTCATCTATTTTGCCTAAAGGCAACCTATGGTCACACCTATGGTCACAAGCCCCACGGGAAACCCTACCGGAAATTGTTTCGGGCCACTGCAGAGTTGCCCGTAGCCTTGAAAACTGAGTGTAGGGAAACGGGCCAACGGAAAGTGTTGCTGCATGCATCTCCCCATGTTTCCAGCACCGCATCAAGGCTGTGAAATTCATCCGAATACGAGTGCCGGTTGCTTAAATCTTATGCCAATGATGTGCACCGAGGGGTTTGCAATCAAACACAGATATCCTTTAAGTATGGTGCCATTCGTGAACAGGAACTCGTGACAGAAGCTGCCTCTCCAAGAAATGTTTCATGCGTTCGCTCTGCTTATTCGCTCTGCTTGCGATTCAGAGATGAGCAAGCTTCCGGGTGAGCCATGTAGAGAGCAACACGCTGAGCTGCAGGGTTGTGAGATCAAGGGGTTTCTGTGATAGAAGAGAATCCCCCTGTATATGTAGTTTTTGGGAAGCCCTTTCCGTTGTATCACAGAAGTGGTCATTCCCCACAGCCCTGCTGAGCTGAGGTCATGACCGTTCCAAGGGAGTCAAATCCATCAGGCTCCATAGTTCTGCGCTTCGAAGTGCCTCAATTTGGAAGCGCTCCTGACGGGAGTTTGGAGTGTTCGCTGGGCTGAGCTCGCGGATTTTCTTCGTTTTGCAGATTCTTCCACTTGCTCCAGGGATATCCGGGTGACTTGTCCTTGTCGTTGGTGGATTGAGCAACTGTGGGCCGGCTACTCTGCTGTAATTGTTAATCGACCCCCGTTTTCTATTAGGGACCTGGGGTTGGTGGGGAATCATTACTTTTGGAGGGGGACATCCCCCTATCAATGAACTGGGGTGCTTCAATATGGGGTCAACATTAGTTCATCGGCACAATTGGCCTTTGGTGCTTTCGACATTGGACTGACCACCCTTTCTGGGTCACCCCCGTACTTTGGCGAAAGGTGAAGCACGTGAGCGGCAACCACATCTTGCGAATCTTGAAGTGTTGCCGTCCTGATTGTTCGAGGGATTGCCGGAGGACCAGGGGAATATTAAAATCTCCGGCCAAGTCTGCAGCCAATAGTCGCGGATGTGCATAGCAAAAAGTATGCCAACAGCAAATTATAGTGCCCGTGTACGTGGCGCTAGGGGAGTTGGAAGCTGTACTTAGAAAGGATACGAGGTCAAGTTGGTGGCCTTTGATCCTGACTCCACTGCAAATGGAAAGTCGGATTGCCCGCTCTGGAACAGTCTGGAGTTGACCAGGCCTTTGGTTGGCATTTGCCAATCCCACTTTGGACTTGTTCTTCGCCATCTGTGCAAGCAAACACCGCTGACTGCAGACAGGCCTACTTCACTAAACAGGCGTGTTGGAGCCGGCAGCTCTTGCAAGGATTTGAAAAGTACTAGGGCACCAGACTTGCTCTTGGCGCTGCCCACATGAGCAGCGCCCAAAACCCTTCTTTGCCATTTTAGGTGGTTCTACCGCCTTTGTTTCATGAGTTTGGAGCAAGGGCTGGAAGAGCTAGCCGTCAAATGGGTTTGGGCGCTTGAAAGTTGGATGCTTGCCAGTGGCTCACGGCTTCACAAAGCACCTTAGGGACAGTTTGCTTCATCTCTATACTCGAACATACATGGTGTGTTATCTTGCTGTCATTCGGAAAAGTGTTTTTTGGACAGAAGGGATCTCTGCTTATCGAGGTCCTTCGGCTTCAACTCAGATTCTTAAAGGCTTGTAGGATCACTCGGGGTTTATCCAACCACTTCTGTGATACAAAAAATATATCCTCTAGTCTTTGTGAAGCTCATGTTCTTGGTGGTTTCCAGCAATATGGTTCCTTAGCTTTGTAGCCTGTTTGTGTTTAGTGGTTGGATTTCCATTTAACCCACTGAAAGTTAGTCACTCTTGGTGTGTATCACGGTCATGTCCCACAGCCCTGGATTCTTACTGGGTGAATGCAAACACTGGTCGCCGAATTGAGGCGAGGCGCTTGGGGAAACCACAGGAGCAAGTAGGGCCATTCTTGAGGCCTCGACTGGTCGGCACAAGGCCAGGGGAACTTCTCAGTTGCCCAAAGCGAATCGACCTGACCTCTTGGTTTCCCCATGTTGGCAACCATGTTTAGTCATGGCTCACGTTAAAACCTTCCATTTCCAGGTCCTTTGGGCAACTGAGTTGTTAACGTCCAATGTTGCGTCACCCAACTTTGCCGTGGATTTCCTCATGGGATGAAGGGGAAGTATGACCAGCAACCTGATATGCCAGTTCTTGGCTGCTTTCCAGAAGGCAGAGGCCTTGATTCACGCGCCATGACATGCGCCACCCAGATATCGACCACCTCAAGGTCGCCCAATCACGGGTCTTGAAGCCCTGACTTGCCAAACAAAGAGTGGCGTACTTGTTCTTCCTTGCTGCGTTATTCGCATTTGTGGAACGACGTTTGCAGGGATGTGCAAGATGCTGGCTTTGGCAACAGCGTTGACACTGGTGCCAGCAGCTCTTTCGGACCTTTGATTGCAGGCCTTAACTTCTGATGACACCATGGGCAACCTGCAAAAGTATCTACAGAAACGTGTAAACAACTATACCCTACAGACTTTCCACACTTTCCATGTCCATTTTGAAGAACCCAGTTTGGAATTAAATAGGGCCGCGTCCACGTCGAACCGGCCAGGGTCAACGGCGTGGCGCCCAGCCTGCCGGAGGAGGGGCCACTCCGTTTGCTGAAGAAATGGCAGTGGGTCAAGAATGAAGTGAGTTCATTCATGAGGGAGGAGGGGGGGAGTAAGCCCTAAAAAAGGCCTTATGAAGGGCTCAATACGGGCTTATTTGGGCTCTCCCTCCCCCCTCTGCTCCCTCCCCCGCAGCGCCCATGATTCATACTCTTCAGTTCATCCCCAAAATGGTGTGCTCGTCCGGAATGAAGGGTGCGCTCGCTGTGCAATATCGTGGTAGCTTGGCTTGGGAATTGTAAGGGCTTCCGCGCATCGATGCATGAGATTGGAAATGTGTATTGTGCAAGTCAGCCCTTGCGAGATCATGCTCGCTCATCTGCAAATATCGAAAGGACTTGTACTACCTCATCAAGAAGGCCGTGTCCATTCGGAAGCACCTGGACAAGAATCGCAAGGCCTTGGGTCAACACGAGCAAAGATTCGACCCCCCGTGTTATTGCTGGCTCAAAATGTGTTCTGAGCATTGTGTGAGCTCAATGAGCCCTTTGGTGTAAAGCCCTTCAGGTTCACTCCTGGACATTGAAGTCAGAGCCAGCTAGGTGGCGAGGTCGTGCCACCACAAAGCAGCTTTGCTCTAAGCCAAGCATGTTATATGTGGATTGGTGTTTGGATGTTGCCGAGTTGAAAAGAGCATGTTTGTAGGATTTCTCAAACTGCAACCCAATATGCTGCATTTCTAACACTGAATTATGTATCATTTTATCTTCTTTGAAAACCCATTGCTAGACTCGCTGGTTGTCTCAACATTTGCTGCTCGTCTGTGTGTGTTTGATTGCTGGCCTGACCATTTGGAGGCACCGGTTCAGCCAAGTCACTCAGAGCGCTCAAGTAACGACAAGAGCTCCACCGATACCTCAACGACAGCTGCAGTTGTGCAGTTTCGAGGCCATTCGGCTCGTGCCAAATCTTGTGCCCGAAATGGGATAGGTTTTTCTTCCATCAGTGGGTGTCCCACCACCCACAAAAGCGGCTGGTTCCCCATAAACTGTCTGGGCATGTGTCGTTTCGCCAACAGCAAACAGCCATGGTCTCTGCCCAGAAAGACGCTGGATATGGTTCGGGGGGCAGCTTGCAAGGAGGCTTCACAAGGAGATTCGGTTCTTTTTCCGGTGACCCTTTTCAGGTTGCTTTGGGAAGCCACAAACTAGGTCCCCAGTGCCCTTTTACCCTTTTGTGGGGGAGGGTGCCCCTACTAAAATAGACTACAGAAAAAAAACATCGGGTACCCTTATTCTAAGCTCTCTACTGGAGGACCTAGTAAAGGTAGCAACTCCATTTTGGGGTGCTCCCCAGCCAGGACAAGGACTCTAAGTTCAGGCTGATCCTGGTGGAGAGCCGCATCCACCGGCTCGCCAGGCGGGTGGAACATGTTGAGATGGACGCATTTTTTCTTCGGAGGTCGCCTTTGGGGTGCTGAGCATGCTTGAGACACACCCAAAAAGAGGATCTGCTTCCTTCCATTTGCCGAAATGAGCACTTATTTTTGATTTTGCCTTGTTGGTTGGAAGGGAATCTATCACTGCTGGACACATTTCATTCTTCCCAGGGGGCTTAAGCAAATGGTAGCTTCTGTCTGGAATAGTCCGATTCTCAAAACGAGTAGGCAGTGGAGTGCCATCAGAAGGTGCCAAACCTTTGGTTTGGTGAAACTTCGAGCGCGTCGCCTCTCATGTTTCCTTGGGTCCATATTCCCGGCGGCTAAGCAAGCGTGCGTGTGTGTTCCCGGTTGTGAGCGGCTGCTCGTGAATTCGAAGGTCGGTCCTTTTTATTTGGGTGTGGGTCATTTTTTTTAAAATTGATTTTATTCTGGTCGAACCCAGGTTTTAGTCTTTGGTTGCATTTACCAGGGTTCCATTTTGGGGTTGCCCGATTTTTGACTCACAGCCATTTGTTCCTCTGGTCATCTTGGTCTTGATTTCTCCGATCCGCCAGTCACTAACATTCACGTGTTGAGCTTGTCGCGTCTTGGTTTCTCCGATCCTCTTCTGAGTTGCCCAAAGTGAATCGACCTGTTCACCTTTAGGTTTCCAAGTTTGGCCTACTTTTGGTCATGGTACCTTTGGGTGTTCCAATGTTGGCCATGTTTTTAGTCATGGCACAGTCACACCTTGTGGTTTGCCAGTCCACAATGTTGGTCTATTTTTCGTCCCAAAAGGCACACCACACAAGCGATGATTCCCCACATTTCACCCAAAGCAGCCCCCAATAAACTGTTTCTTTGATTTTCTCTGGGATCCCAGGGGCCCAGAGCCGTGGCTGAGCCTGAGCGGCGCTTGCGCGACGCTGCCACTGAGGTACTACAAGCGTGTGAAGTCACTGCCAGCCACCTGGAAGTACGTCTCCACCACCGCCTCCGCCCTTGTGGCGCCTCACTCACTCGAGAAACTGCAGACTTGGGAGGGACTCGATGCGCTCGGGAGGGATAGACGCCTTGGTGTCCAGGAGTGAAAGACTCCATTTGCTTAAGAGTATCTTGTTATTTCCCCTGATGGGTTTAAAGGGAATCTATCGCTACTGAAAACATGTTCTATTTTTCCCAGGGGACTTAAGCAAATGGATGAAGAGCATTCACCCAATTTTTCTGCGTCGGGGAACTTGCCACGAAATGGTCCAAACAAACATGCGACTAAAGTCCAGGAACCCGATCGGAAGTGAGTTTATTTTTTAAAATTTATTTGTTTGTTTTAAACTAACTAATCATCATTTGGGTAGCGGTCAAAACTTGTCACTACCAGGAATTGGAGCGCAGAAGTAATCGTCCATGCTTTCATTATACCGGGGCAACCATTTGGGGGTTGTGCGATTTTTGACCCACAGCCACTTGGTAACGGGTCTTTACTGGACTTTAGCCTTTTGGTTAAAACAACTGATTTTCCGAATTAGACCCACAAAAGAAGCGAACAGCACTTTTTGCAGAGGGTCACCAGCGACCAAGTTGCGAAGAGGTTGTATTTGCCTACACCTTGGTGCCTTGTACAATGCGTGCCGCTTCCTTTTGATGCCAACCCTCCATTCGTCATTTTGTATCTGCTGCGCCCTGGTTTCATGCCTTGGAAGTGGGCGTGTCTCAAAATGGTGCAACCCTCAAACAATTGTGGTTTTTCGTCAGTTTCTCCATGCCAACCCCCAAAAACAGGAACCACACTTAAGTGTAGCTCTGGCCGAAGCGGGAGAAGAACAAAGAGGCAGCGCCCTGAGCTAACCTGATGCTCTTTGGTTCTCTGGTTTCTGGCTCTGGTCGGGTTTCACTCGGTGATACTGTGGATGGTGGCAAGATCCGCACCAGTCGATCGGCACCAGTTGGATAAAACCCGATTGGAATGCTGGCTGACAAACCACCGGAATCCACTTGCACGAAGTGAACTTCTCCATCCACAGTAGGTGTTCCTTTTGATCCCGGCGGAAAAAAAATATAGAGGGCCACCTATCTCCATTCTTGGGGGGTCCCTCATTTTCGGTTGGCGGATTATACGAATTTGCCCAGACCTGTGAATGCAAGAACTCTTCTACAGGTGTCTCCCCCATCCCGAAAAAGAATCAAATACCGTGTTGGGATCGTACTCCAGGCTGATTCTTGGACTTGGACTTGGAGCATGGGGAACTTTCTGCTTGAACCCCCGCAAGCAAACCCCTTGAGGTTTCAAAGTGAACCCCGTCCATTCCATTCATCTCGTGGAGTTTTTCGCGGCGCTTCTCTTCGGCCGCCACTGCGGTCCCCCCCCCCTGCTACATGGAGGTGGTTTGCTTGAGAATCAAACATGATTTGCCTCGGCGTTGTGTGAAGCTGGCGAGGACAACCACTAAAATGGTGGTCTCTTCGGAGACTGCCCCGTTTCCTCCCACTGAATCCGAGCACGAACGGGATGCCCAGCGCAGGCCTAAAACTACGTCGAGACTCAGGCACCGTGGCAAACCGGAGTTCGGATCCGGGCTAGGGGACGCACGGATTCGGCCGAGAAGGGATCATGGGAGTGAAGGGAACGCTTCACCGGCGGAAACTATGTTGAAAACAAATCTACATTTATATGGGTGTGTGTGATTCCATATTGATTGACGTTCCAACATGATGGCACCACTGGCAACCTATTGAGCACGCGCACAAACCCATCTGACAACTGCTACCCAAGTCAGCTTCACATTCGCACACACACACACACACTTGCCATGCATTCAGCTGAAATGAAGATTGTGGTCATTTGGCGTTGCTTCTCTACCCAAATCATTTGACCAACCATGCAGCTGGACAACACCAGCTCCCCCTGCTTCAATGCGCTCCTTCCCGTTGCAACCGGCAGGTGGTCAGATTCTCTGCTGGAGCTCGGGGCCGATGGTTGCGGAAAAAGTGGATGCATGGCAGGTTGACCAGGGCTCCTTAAAAGATAATTGTTTGCCCATTTGAAACATGGGACACCACCATTTACAAGGCAATGTTCAGGGCATAGTGTAAGGATCCCTGTTAACAGGGGCAGGAGTAGGGGCTCCTGAGCGAGCAATCTTTAGTGCTGGCGACGCCGCGACGAAAGCGTAGGCGCCTTTGCTCGATGAAACGTCCTTGTCTCTCAGATTTCCCAAAGGCAGCGAGGAGAGGAGCTAAGGCGAAGGGAAATGCAAGCCCCAACTCTTTCATCCGTTGGCTCGCCCATGATCATGCTTTTCAAAATGTGTGCTTTCCTGATGCCATTCCTCTTCCTTCATTATTCTTTCCGTGTCATCCCTACATCAGATTAGGGAGACACAAGAATAAAGGAAGACCATGTTAAACAGGATATGAAAGAATATTTGATCTCTCATTGCTTACCTTTTCACCCTTGACCCTCTTCACGCACATTCTTCGTTTATTGCCGAGTCTTTATTGCAGCTAATAAGATTAGAATGAATGGACATGACAACTAGAATGTCACCTACCTCCTCCTCTTCGTTCCGGCTTTCACGGACACAATTATAGATTTAGACTGTAAAGCTTGGAGAGATAAGGAAAGAGCAATAACCAGATATAATATTTGAATTAGAAATAGAAAGGACGTGGGAACAGAGATAATAATAAAAATCCTACATAAAAATCCAGAAATTATTCAAGCTTTTCCATAAAGACACTTGTTTTTATTATTTCTTCTCTTTTTCTTTATTTTTTGTGTACATTTTTATTTTGGAAATCGTTGCATTTAAAAGTTACATCAGATTCATGTTGTTTGTGTGTTAATATGTCTATCTTATTAATGTTTGCGCATCTTAGTATTATATTTACTTTTACAGGATATAGTATTTATTGATGGACTAGAATTCACTTCTCATAGAATTATGTTCTTATATTATTTCCTCTTAATGTACTATTTATTTATAGTTATCATATCTGGGTTTTGCTTCAGTGCGTGAAAGTTGTATTTCGTAGTTGGTGATTTGGTTTCTTGATTAAGTTGGTTAGTTTCAATATCCATGTATATCTTTTGAAGAGGGAAGGCTCCCATGAGCCAACTTTTGGGAGAGCGCATGTCGAGACAGTGTCGCTTGCTGAATCCTTTGCTGCGCTGGCTTCAGTTCCGAAGAGTTGCGGTGGCCATTCCGACACAGCGCCCGAGGGAATCAAGGTGTGTCCTCAAACCTCAGGATGTTCCGCGCATGCGCAAGACCAACCGTTCAAGCAATCTCCCCAAGGTATCCCTCACACTTACCCACTTGGCGAGGTCGAGCGAATGGATTCGCCCGATTGTTGGATCCCCTTCTTCTGTTTTTTCCGGCCTACCTCACATCGATTGAAACCTTCAGGGCGTGTGGAGGGGAGCTTTTGACCCCAGAGCTCGGTTTCCAAAAGCCTGGATTGCTCAGCGCATGCTTGGCTGCCATGCGCGGAACCCAGCAGGTTTGTGGGGCAGGGGCCGGTTGTTTTCTTCCAGAAACCGCTGAAAGGATTTGGTCGATGGGTCCAGATAGGCTCGATGGGGGTGGTTTGGGGCAGCTTTCAGGGTGCGGGGCTGATACCACCTGGGCTTCTTTTGTTCTGCGGCCTTTGTGCAAAGCTGTTCTCACACATGGAGACGAGGCCAAAGGATAATCCCTAAAAGTACTTCTGCGCGGAGTCGATGCGCTTATCGCCATAACCATCGCGATCGCACGTTTCGGACGGCAATTTACATGAGGTTTTCTCTCAATTGCTGCTTTTGCAAGGAGTCCCTTCAACCGGTCTGTCTTAAAATCGGGGAATCTTTGTCATTGTTGAGGGGTTGGTGGATGGGTGGCTGGCTGGGTGGTTGGTTGGGTGGCTGATCCTTTCAAGGTCTCAATTCTAAAAGTGACGTGGGTCCCTGCCTCGCCTGCAGTATGCAATGGGCGGAGCCCTAAGCAAGTAACCAGCTTTAACGAGCCTGACCATTTTGAAGGAGTGAGAACAAGTCGAGGAGGTTGCGTGAAGGAGAAATCCTTTGGCGAGTCTCAAGATGTTCAGCTTGGCGCCTTAGGAATCCCTAGACTCCCTAGACCGTAGGGATGCGGCAAGTTTCTGTCGTTTCCCGAATGTGCTGGAATCTCTTTTTGCCCAATTCTTGCCGAATCCCCCTTTCGGTGCTTCGAGCATCCTGCGCCTCAGATCCTTGGCATACGTGGGTCAAAACGGGGGAGTACGTCCCCTTAATAAACCCATGGTGGGTTGGTTGGTTGGTTCCAACCCAAAGAACCCTCGCAGTTGGCAGTTTTCCCTTGCCTTCCCTTTGAATCAACGCCGAAAAGGGGTATCCAAAAAAAAAAGAGCAGCCGTATGACCTAAGGGATGGAGGCGAAGCAGCGTCAGTGCGGAGCTCGGAGTGTGTCAAACCCTCAAAGGCAGGTGGTTGCGCTTTTGGTTTTTCTTGAAATAGGACAGCCTCACAACACACTCAATGGGACAATCTCAAACAAAAAAGAATTGAATCGTGTTAGAGACCCCTCTTTTGGGCACTTGCCATGCAGAGTCGGGTAGGCCATCTCACCTATGTTTTGTCTGGCTGCACATGCCTGGCGTAACAGCAACGGTTTTGTCCTTTTTGTTTGAGGAGAAGGCGGAAAAAGCAGAGTGGTCGCACAATGTGATGGCTTGGGGCATTCACTGAATTGGCCATGGGGCATAACTTATGGCTCCATTTTGGAGTGGAACATCCATTTGCCACCAATGTTGATGTTCACCAGGGGGTTTCTGGGTTTTGACCCACAGCCAATCCTTTTTAAGGGCTTGGGCGAGTTTTGCGGAAGCACCACTTCCGGTCACGGGCCTTCAGGGTGAGCATTCGGCAGTGTCCCATGGCCTTGATACCCACGGCACGGACGTATTCGAAGCCGTTTCTGTCACCAAAGTCCCAAAGCAACCAGCTTTGTAGCACACAAGCACAAGCATGCACATAATTATTTGCATTTGCTTTTGCACATTTGTGTGCATTTCTGTCACGCAGCTCGAGTTGAGATGCCGTTCGCACGTCGCACGCGAGCCATGTTTGGCTTTCTGGCCTGGGCAAGCTTGGTACTCCTGCCAGCTTCTGCAAATGTAGAAGGGTACTTCACCATTCGGAGCTCAACGGACACCAGAAAGTGCCTCTCAGCTTATAATCTTCATATGTGGATGGAAGACTGTGATGAAATCCCGATAGAGAACTCAAGTCTGGTATTGGAACAATACCTGGCTTGTGAACGGATTTCAGACATTTCTGTGTCAGTGAGCGGAAGGAGAAGAGACGAGAAACAAAGAGAAGAAACGGCCGACGGAAGAAAGTAGATGAGAGTGGAAGGAGACGAGAAGAGAGAAGCAGAGAAGAAAAGAGAGGCAAAGAGAAAAGGTGACAAGTGTTCGGACGTGGGGGTGGAAAGTAATTACTCAAAGTGAGTGCCCTGCGCGTGTTTCGCGTGTTCCAGGAAAGTGCAAGCCACCTCTGGAGCGACGCCTATTTTTCACGGGTTCGGAAAGAGTGCGGAACGGGCGGGCCCATTGGCACGGACACCCCACTTTGCGCGACGTGAGTTTGCGTGACAAGCGCGGCACTTGGGCAACCTGAGGTACAGATTGCGTGGCAGGCGCAGCGCCTTGCCCGAGCGGCGATTTGATTTCGTGGCAGGCGCAACACTTTCGCAAGGTCGCCGCAGCACATTCGCAGAGTTACTGTGTGACAGGCGCAGCGAAAAGGAGGGAATGAGAAGAGAAAGAGAGATAGAAAAGAAGAGAAAGAGAAAGAGAAAAGGAAGGAGAGAGAAGAGAAAGAGAAAGAGAAACTCAAGAGAACCATAGTTTTTATATTTAGAAAGCTTCCGACAACCGCAGTAAAATGATACACATATCTCTATATATATATATACACATACACGTACGTATAGAAATATGAAATGAGCATGTGCATGCCGGTGCATGCCTACAATTCAGACCAAGATGCTTGTGGTGTTCCGGAAATCCTTTGGCACCCTTGCCCAGATTCTTTGCTGCATGCCCCTCGCAGCGCCACAAGTTGCTGCTGGCTCGTGCCCGCCTCAGTACGACTTGGAAAGGAAAGGCCCCTGACACCCAGGCGTTTCCTCGCGCCCTCATAATAAAAAAATGGCAAAGCTTGTTGGTTCGCTGTTCGGGGGAACAGGAAAAAGGTAATTCAACGATTCAACACGTCTTGTTCTGGTGGATTCGTTACTTTTAGTATGGATGGATACGGACGTGCGAAATTTCTTGGAGGGCGCGCGTCGATGTCAAGCCATGCCTTTGGTGTGCACTGCTGATTTTTGAGTGTACACTGGGTCTTGCGTCTTCAGGTCGGTGTTTATGTGGTCCGGGTTGAATCTCTCAGGGTTGATTACTAGCACTCTTGCGATGTCTATACAGAAATTGCTCCCCGCAGTTCCTTCCATTTGGTTCAGAACAATCTGGTCACACGTGTTCACGCCCCCACTGTTTTCGACCAATGATGTTCTTGGCGGCGTATTGTTGAGCCCGGTCTCAGACATTTGACGATGCCACCAGCCAGATCGCGATACGAAACTTTGAGACAGGCTGAGACAGACTTGAGGACGGAGGCAGATGTGTCTGATTCTGAAATTCAGTTATGTACCGGTGCAGATCCAATGAGTAATGAGCAAGTAGATGTTCATTGTAGGCAGATCGGTAGCCTTTTACAAGGTCGAGCGGTTAGACCCTTCTGGGATTAAGTTCATGGCTCACTGGATTCCTTGGAACACTGGAGGTCATCCCACTCAAGGGAACTGGTACTCTCCCCACACAGCCGTGATTGCTGGAAAGAGGGTATCTTTTAGGAGGCTCTCTGTGGGTTTGGAGCCCAGGTCGTGCTGGTGGACGTATGTTGTCCCAGTACCCCACACGGTCGGCCGGCCCTCACACAACCCCACCTACTTCTCACAAGTGCAAACTCTTAGCTGCTGCACCAGCGCCCAAGCACCGCCTATCTTGAGTATACCGCACCTGCAGACAACCGTGGTGCTGTCCGCCTCGTATTTTGACGCGGACATGTATGCGGAATAGATGAGCAAGTTCCCTGTTGCTTTTCGAGCTTTATCCGCTCAGCAGGCGTTGCTGCGTGAGCCCTGGACCACTTTGCCTTGCTAAGTCCTGGGAATGCATACATCTCTAGGCAGCCTGTCTTTGGGCCGCTGCTGAGGAGATACTCACTATTGATTTTTCTCGCTGTAAGCAGGGAATGAGTTGGAATGACCCCGATTTGAACAATCCCCGGATCCGTTGCATTCCCAATTCCCGGCACCAAGTTTTGGTCGGCCCTTTTGGTGGGAGGGGGGGAATGGCATATGCTCGCCAGCCCTCGCCACGCTCGCGAAGGCCTGGTGCTTTAAAGACCAGTTTGAAGTCAAGGGCGCCGAGCCTTTTCGACGAGCTGGCCTCCCCCTGCGACGTGCCCCATGATAGGGCGATAAAACTGGAAGGGGCGGGGGGAGTTCGACCCCTGGAGATCTCCATGAAATTGGGGACCACCCCTCCCCCAAGAAGGTAGGAGGGATCCGTGGAAACTACGGCCTAACACGCCCCTCAAGAAAAGGTCGGAGGCTCGGAGGTGGACAAGTCCTGCCCACGGAGTGAGCGCAGCTTTGGCGCAAAGTTGAACCACCTGTAAATATTGTTTGGAAGCTGGGAACAAAAGGCCAAATTATTGGAGTGCATCTCTTGCTTGAATGTTGGGGCTAGGATCTTCTATCATGAAGTGGTCCACCCAGATAAAGTTTAGGAAGGATCTGCCATGCTCTTGTAAATGTGTCATCAGCAAAACGAGAGGTATCAGGCGACGAACATATCCAGCGAAGCACTACATTGGATCGGCTCCGAGAACTCTCGCTTCCCCCACTTATTGGGCGGGGGAGATATTTGTTTTAGTGGGGAGCCCGATTATGGTGATGTAGAGGGCTTTCTTGTTCGCTTCCTTCAAATATGTAGGGCATCCATGCCATTTGTACTTGATCTCGATGTTGAGCCATACTGCGCAATACCAGCCCGAGCTGTCAGCCCCGAAGTGAGAACTTCAGCCCCCAGGAAGAGTTGGAGAAAGAGAGAGGGGGGCGCAGGAGAAATTACCTCCATTTGCTTCTTCGTCCCCTGGGGAATAAACATATACAAAAAATGGCCAGTAGTGATTGATTCCCTTTGAACAGGGGAAAACAAATAACACATGTTGGAGGATTAGAGAGATAACGCTAGAGAGCACGGTTTAATTCATCAAGGCTCGGAGCAACAGAGCCATGGTCTTGCGATGCATTGCAAGGCGCACCGCGAATTTCGACAGGTACTGCCAGTGTCCTCGTCCCTGCGGCGCGTGGCCGGGCCCCGAAAAACGGCTCGTGCGCGGCTGCCGTGTGTCGAGGGTTCCCGTACTCGAGGTGAAACACCTGGCTTGACATGGCGCTCCAAACCAAGGGTATCTCCCACCATGCGAGGGAGGTGGGGGCGGGGGGGGGGGGGGGGGTGAATGCAAAACCATGGTTTCATTTGTGGCGGCAGGGGCATTTCTCGCATTTTTCCCTTTTTCGAGTAGTAAAGCTCTTGCCCATGTTCGGAAGACGAAGTAGATCTTCCAGGTACCCTCCAGTCGCGTGGGCACCGTCCCCTGGCTACGCCTCCAAAGTGGTCGGTGGGCACATACATCCCACCTAAATGATGTCCACCAAAGGCTCCCCAGTCAAAATCCTCCCTGCTTTTCAAGCTTCAATTCATTTTGCTCACGCCATCCGAATTCCTGGCAGTCTGCACTGAGGTTGGTATTGGACAGCCGAAGGCTGAAGTCAGGCTGGCAGTTGTTTTGCGCGTTAGCTTCGGATTGTTGGGGTTGATTATATAGGTGTGACCATTCATGGTTTGCATTTCGTTTTCCTGTAAACCAATATGAAACGAGTAACGAGTACTTTCTATCGATGTACGTGTAGTTGTTTTTTCTCCCTCTTTTTTTATATGACTTTATACATGTCTCTTTCTTTTTTGCCTTTCTGCGGGTCGCTTGGCCATCGTTGAAAGGGGGGAGGGGATTGGCCGCTGGAAGTCCCCAGGCCCCAAGTGAAATCCCCGGCCGGAAACCAACCGGAGGTTGAAGGCGAATGGCCTCCTCTCTGAAATCCACGCTCTGAAGCATCTCTCATTTCTCCCCCCAGCCCCTGGTGCGATAGGGAATTGGGGCTTTGGAAATGAACCGAACGGCGATTCCCTTGAAGGAAACCATAGGGGAGTGTTTTTTAGGGGCCATTCCAACTCATTCCCTACTGTAGCGCAGCAGCGCCAGTTTTCGCCTGAACTTGGGAACGTTTTTCGCCAGGGGTCGTTTTTTTTTTTTTCGTGTTGATTCGTGAGGCGAATCGCCTGGCTGATGTTCCTCTTCGTGCTGCTGGACACCTGCAAGGGTCTTCTCGTCGCATGGCCGGGCGCCAGTGATGGCGTGATGGCGTGATGGCGATCCCTCGACTCAGGCTGACGTTTACCTGCCCATGACCCCATTGTTTTGGGTGACCCCATGGAATTATAGGTCATGGAGACTCGAGGTCAAAAATGGCAGATCTGGTGGTTTTGCGCAACCCGAAACAAAGCCGTGGCCATTTCTGGGAGAGAGGCTGCGCTGAGGCTTGGTGGATCGTAGCTCGAAGAAAGCCACAGAGCCGACAAACTTCTTGAACGCTACTATGGATGGACAAAGACCACTTTGCATCACTTGGTGTACTCCAGTATTCAAATCGGGTTTCATCCCCACTGGTACGTTTGATGGATTTTGCCAGTGGAGAATGAGGCAGGCCTTTCTATGCACTCGCTTGTTCAACATCACATCTTTGTTGGCGCAGTCATCTCGTCGCTGGTGGCATTTGCAAGGCTAGGTATCAATCAATCGATTCTTTGTCACAGTGATGTTTGCACCTCAAAACACACTCATGTAGCGGCATCAAGTTGGCTCATGTTTTTTTCCGGGTACCCCTTTTGGGGTGGTGTGGAAGGGAAACCAAAGGGAACCACCGATTTTGGAGCGTCCCCTATCTTGGCACCAGATGTGCCCCAGACTTCCAGTGGTGACTTTTTCTCCGTTCACGTTTTTGAGAGGTTCCCTTCCACTAAAGGCCACACAATGGGTGTGCATGTGAAATGGGGACCTGCAATGGACATCGAAATTCGGTGGAGATTCGAATTCACTAGCCACTTGCGAGGGGTTTTCCTGTTTTATTTTCCTCGACAATGGTTTCGCTTTCTCATGGCCAGTCCCAATTTTCCTTGCCACGCCGAACTTTGGAGTGAGGTCGGCGGTGCACAGCTGCGAAGCCTTGGTTCCTGTGGCGCTTTGTGTCCGAAGCCTAGATGCGCGCCAGCCCCTTGCGTCCCATTCCGCGTGGCTCCATCATCGTGCACTGAATGGGGCAAACCACGAAGTGCATAGTGGATTGTTCCAGACTTGGCTTGCCTGTTTAGCTTTGGCTTCCCTTCATTGTCCTAAACTCTATGGCAAATTTTGATGTCCACCATTTCGGGCCCCCCATATAAAAAAGCAAAACAACATATGCACAGATCTTTGATTTAAGTTTGATGCTTTGGACCATGCGCTTGCTGGCGATTGGCTTGAACCTTCACGCCCTTGCCTTGATTGATGAAAACCGCGGGAGTGTCTCTTTACGTCATTTTCCGTTTCAGCTTGAAAGTCATACCACTTGTTTAACCGGGGTGTGGAGTTTTCTCCGTGCCAAGTCACGTGGTTAGCTGTGGGATTTGGCTGTGGGTCAGTACAATTTTGGGGTAGGTGCACCACCCATTTCAGTCTATTTTAGTGGGGATTGGGATGTTCGCTGGGGGTACGGGCTTTTTACCCATGGCCATTTGTCTGAGGGCAAAAACGTGCTCTCCATCGTCTTCGGCCTGTGGCTGGCGCTGCTGCTGGAGGGGAAACAGGGCTGGAGGCGCAGCTGGCCCCCCGAACGCGGGCTGGTTGATGAGGTTCGAAATCCTTGGGATGACCAGGGACCACCCAAAAGAGACAGGACTTTCCCACATGATGGAAAAGTTACTCATGGTCAATTGGGGAAAGCTACCCTTGGTCATTTGGGAAAAGTTGCTCATGGTCATTTGGGAGCCAGGAATATTGATGAGCAAAATCAGGGGACCTCCACAATTGGGGCGGTCCTTTTTTAACCCGCAGCATCACCGGCGTCGCTGGCCACCACGGGCAAGGATGGCTGCAAGGGGAGTGGCTCATTCAAATCCGCCACAGCGACAAATCCGCTGTCAATGAGCCACTCCACCCCGCTCGCCCGCCGCCAGACTCACATTACCAACGCCACCAAGGGTGACGCCGCGTGATCCGTCTGAGCCGGATCCGTCCGTCCTACCGTCTGATGAGTCCGGTCCGATCTGTCCGATTGCGTCCGAACCGTCCGAGCAGTCCGATCTTCCCGATTCCGTCCGATCAGTCCGATCCAACCGATCTGCTCCAATCAATCTCATCCGTCCGTGCCCGGCCGAGGGTGGCTCATTTAGTCTGCCGCTGGACAAAATTCCGCAGTGCCCCGCCCCACAGCCAACATCTCCAGCATCCCCAGCATCACCGGCATCGCTGGCTACAACAGGCAAAGTACTTGACGATAAGATGGCTGGAAGGGGAGCGTGACGGCATGCCAGACAGAATGTCGTTGGCATGATTTGGGCCTGCCGCATGCAAATCTCCCCGCCAGGTCAGTCCCGTCAATCCGAGCCGTCCGAGCCGTCCGTCTGCGCCGGCCCATCAGTCTGTCCTACCTGTCCCATCAATCCAATCCGCCCTCCGTCCGAGCCGCACGAGCTCTCCAGCGAGCTGTCCGAGCCGTTCGATCAGTCCGATCAGCCGGCCATGCAACCTCGCCACATGGACGCCAAGCGTCCAAGGCACCCCTCCCCCCCGGCCCCCAACCCCCACTTTTTGAATGGCAGAATTGAATGCTTTCCCTTTGATTGTGGATCAGCCGCAAGAAAAGCAGACCTGAATGCAGAGCACGGTGTTACCGGGTTGCGAATCGACCAGCTAGAAGTTGGACGGTGTCCGTCGGTGCCTCCGCCCAAATGTCGACCTGAACGACCTGTTTGGGCACTACAAGAGTGCCACAACCTGTTTTCAAGAGTTAGCCGAAATGAAGAGCGCTTGCCTATGGAAAAATTGGGAACACCCTTTAGACCGGCATGGTTGGACATACCAATGCCGTTTTTGTTGTCCACCTAGGAGTGGAGCCACTTAACAATCACAGCCAGATAGCCACCTGTTCGGCCGTGTGCATGCGCTCCCGGTCACCTGTCCCATTGGTCGATTCTGGCGCCTCAAGGTTGCAGCTCAGCCTTGGTCAGTGGGTCTTTCAAACTGCCTTCCATCGTGATACCTGAGCCGTTGCGAACTTGACGGAGACACTGGAGATTGATTCTTCTGCTCTTCAGCCTTTTGTGGGCGCCTCCCCCAGCCAATTCCTGTGTCTAGCCTTTAAGCAACAGGACTCGCGCCAGATTTGTTTGAATCCTAAGCCGCTCGGAGGGCCCCTTTCTTCCTTTCCCGCCGATGCTGGTCCGCATGTAACCTGGGCTTGTGTGTTTGGGTGGTTCGCTTGGTTGGATGTTTGGATGTGAACGGTCAATATGACTGATACTCTGCTTGCTTTTTGGGGAGGACATGGGGGACCTGCCCAATTTCCTCTTTTTTTTTCTCACACAAGAAGCGATGCCTACCCGTCCTCCAACTAACATGGCACCTGCACGATTAGTTTTGATTTTTGAAGGGACCCCGGTCAGTTGCCATGTTAGTGGAAGGGAGGGTACCCAATTCAGCCAACCGTAAGTAATACTGTGGATGGAGGACATCCTGCACCACCTTGGCTCAATGGGAAACCATTCTTTGTTGGCGTGTACGGGGGAACCGGATCAGAAACCAGGGTTTCTTAGGTGGTGCCTAAGAGGATTTCGTCCATGTGACATCCATGCCTTCTTTTCAGGCGCTGCCTGAACCTGCGGCAGAACGTGCGCATGCTGCCGGCGCGGATTCGCGGATTCCGGGCCAAGGGCGAAACCGGGCGGTTGCTGCGGTTTTGCTACGGGAACCACCTGGATGTTGCTTCTGACTTGTTGCCTGGTGCCTGGTTCTGGTTTTTCAGGGTTACCCAAAAAACACACGTATTCGGCCTCCTCCCTTCAGGATATTTGCTGTGTGAATTTGTTCACGAGCTCACCGATTCTGGGGCACAATTAGCTGGGGCCCTATGATGAAGGTCCTATGGGGCTTTCTTCGCTTTTCGTTCGATTTGGGTGTCAATTATGCGGCCTATTGAATTCACCGCCATTTCTGATTTGGGAATAGTCGTGATTCGCCGATTGTGGGAACCGGGGTCCGAATTTTGCCGCATCCCCTGCGTGGGGCATGGAAGGCTTGGGGTGCAAACCACCGCTAACACAATGGTTGGGAATACAACCGTCATGGTTTACCTGTTGAGGATCATCCTCTAGATTGGGTCCCGTCGACCATTCTAATGGGCAGGGTGGAAGGCGTGGGGTTGATGTTGGGTTCTTGGCCTCAAGGAATGCTTCAACCTCCACGTAATGTACCAGGGAAATGGAGCCAGTGCCGGGTTTTTGGCCATGCAGACCGCGGAAAAAGGTGGAAGTTCCTGACCCGTGCCGCGTTTCTCCTCCCGCTTCCCTTGATAGGTTTCATCCCTTAATGGGAAACCTAGCCTGACTGCATTGCCGAATGTTTGACATGAAGCGGCCATTCTTGTCACAGTGTTGCTGTGGCGTCATTCAGAGCAATGTCCATCAATTTCATTCTTGAGAGTTGTTTGATGTGATTTTTTTTGGCCAGAATCTCAACGAAAAAGCTTACTGGAACAGTCCCTCCGTCTCGAAAGTCTCAACATTCGCTTTTCGCCCGAAACAGGGAGCCTATCAGGTGCCATGGCTTTACGAGGCTAGGTGGGGAAGAGCATGCAACTGCCTGTGTCTTTAGGTTCTTTCAGGCAACCAAAGGGAAGCTCCACTGATTTTGTAGTGACACCCAGGTTGGTTTTTCGGAAAAGGGGAGCTCCACTGATTTTGGGGGCCCGGGTCCTCAAAATACTGACACCTACGTCACCTCCCCTGCGCTTCAGGTGGCGGCCTGCTTTGGAGCTGCCCAAATGGCCCGGGACTGAAGCGTTGAAGTAGGCCAAGGCACTGGAGGCTTGGGGGAATCATTGTTTTTTCTTCGGGTATCAAAATGCAAGCACCCCCCCCTCCCCCCCCGAAAGGGTGGTTTCTTTTTGGTTTCCCTTTAAAGCCAGGGTGAAAGGCGGCCCGGAAAACACCCACACAGCGAATTCCTACTTCTATGATACCATAGAGTCTTCCTATTGAGTGGAGAACTGTCCATTGGGAAGGCCTTGTGATATCGCAGTCAGTTCCCAACAGTCTGCTAGAGACCCTCTTTTGGAAGGGAGCCGGGTTATGTTGAGAAATGCCAGCCAGTAGGGTCCTTTGGTTTTGACCTGGGTGATGATACGACTCTTTGGTGTGCCAAAACTCATCGCCGATTGGGCCCTGTTCATCTGAGCAGTCCTTATGTGCCAAACCTGAGAATGCTGGCCCAGGCAAAGAAAAACCTTGTTCAAACCATACCGGCCGTTTGCTCATTGTGCAAGTTGTCAAGCCCTGCATGGTTTGTTCTTTGCTCCCCCAACACGTGCGTTCAACCTGTGCGTTCTTGTGGTCGTGTTTGGTTTGTTTTAACTTGCACGGGCTTTTTTAATGATTGCTGTGAACAGAGGTACTCTTGCCATTTCGGGGTTGCGCTGGTTGTGATTCATTTCCAGACCCCAGGTTGGCGGCACCATAATCGACGTGGACAAATGTCCAATGGCAAGCTGAAGACTTGACGATTTGGTGGAGCATGAAACTCTCACTGGGAAGATGGAAGACAATTAAAGGGGGTTCAAGATGCATGGCAACAACATGACACATAATCAACAGGCAATTCCAAACAAGGGTCCCCAACAAAAAATCCTTGGCATATGACTGAAGCCTGGACCCTTGAGGGGTGGAAATCTGCAGAGTCGCACTCGGGTCGGATCGATCCACCGCCCGCTTCACCGGGGTTTCTGTTAACTCTGCATCAGCGGCATGGGGGAAGGGCTGAGAGTATCTGAAACTTGTAGTCAATCAGGCGTGTCTTTCCGAATCTGGTCCACTTTTTGGGTTTGGATGTGCATCCCTCTTTAATTTGTTTGCTTAACTCTTTGCATCCAGCTCCCCTTGCGTGATTTGGGCATGCGGCATCCCAACCCGGAGCTGGCCCTACTCCGCACGCTCGCGAGGCGGTCGCGGGCCATGCGCCATGCGGATTGAGCAACTCAGGCCATGCTGGAAGCCATGCGCACCTTCAACGCAGGCAGCTTGAAGATCATGGCCCAGGCGACGTCGGAAATCGCGAAGTTGGGTTGTTTCGGGGGCCAGACGGGGCGAGCTCCCCCGCTGTGTTTGTTGCCCTTTGGCTGAGCTTCGCCGTTAAAATCAATGATCCCGCAAAAAAGGAGCCGTTTTTCTCCGAAATCGATGGGATCATCCGCCTGCGATGCTTGCAATGGGAGGTCTGAGAAGTCAAATGCTTGCACTTGCGAGTGCCACTTGTTTTGCACTCAAGCGTTTGTGCAGGCCACCCATGGAAAGCCTAGACCAGTCATTCGTCCTGAAATATTGAATTGGAAAGCCACGAAATATACTGGGAAAGAGAACGCAAGTCACCCGCAAGGAGTCTGGTATTGCGATAGACTCAGGGTGCAGGCAATTCGTATCTTGGTTGAGTTGAGATGCACCTGCCCATGACGAAAAACGAGGGGGTTCAATGAAGATGGACATGTGTATGGGGGTTGATCAATAAACTCCTGTCCCCAAAACGACCATGCGTAATTTCTCCCATTTGAGTCTTCAAAGTAATCTTTTTAGGTAGTTTCCCTAATAATCAGCTCATGCAAAGGACCCTGTTGTCAAACTCCACATGAACGTGTTTGTGGTACTATCCACGGCGCGCAAGCGAGACTGGAGAGCGTTCCGAACATTGAATCCACGAAACAATAGGCGGCTTTCTTTATGGCCATTTGGTAACGAACATCGAGGCCCTAGGTCAATAGGTAGCTTTCTTTCTTTGGGACAGATCTTTCGACTAAAAACTTTTTGGCTGAATCAGCTCGCATTTGTCGGATGGCCCCATAAACAGTTATTCGCTTTTTGCGGAGCGGCCAACAGCAGCCAAGCTTTCCTGACGTTTTCTGGAAAGGAACAAGCAGAACCGTCCAAGAGGGGGGGGGCTCCCAAGTCTGCGAGGCGAATCTCCCGACCATGGCGGTGCTGCCGGGGGCTTGCTAACACCACGACTGGGGAGGCGGAAAGACCTCCAGGGGCTGAGTCTGGACTCTGAGGGTCAATCGGGGTGGTTTGGGGCAGCTTTCAGCGGCGGGGTTTCCGCAAGAGGGTATTTTTGTTGTTTTTGAACATATCCGGGGTGGGGTGGGGGGGAACTGCCTTACGAGAACAACATGATCATCTTTGAGTGGCACTAGGTGGTGGAATGGGAGCCCAGCTCCTGAACAAAGATTGATAAGGAGGCGCCCCATTCAAGAGGGAACCCGGATCACTTTTGGGGACCCGACTTTTTTTCCTGCCTGGAAGAATTGGGGGCTACCAGCCCAAACCGGAATTTGCACGCCGTCAGTCCGTGCATTGTTTGTGCAAGTCCAGGTATTTGGGGGGCCCTTCAGTAGGTAAAAAGATACTCTTCGTCCAACAATAATAGAGGTGGACAAGAAGGGGTTGGAAGACTACCATCCTCATCACACCCTTTGTCCACTTTCATGACTGAGAGCATCCACTGAATGGATTGCTCTGGACACTAGGATGAAACATCCAGGCTCCGCAGGGGATCCCTATCTCAGGACGCATCAGGCGAGGCAAGAACTGTCTTGCCACTTGCATCAGCCAGTGTGAATGGTCAACTCAAGCGTCCCAATCTTGGGAAGCTGTTTGACGTGTGGACTTTGGTGTGTTTTGCTTGCATGTTAGGACTTCAACTTGTTGCCAACTAAAGGTTTTTCCATTAAACCACTAAACATTTTTCACTTCTAGCAGGGGAGCAGAAAGCAACCGTGTGGGTGTGGCTTGGTCAAAACCAATGGTACCATTTTGGGGTAGGTGAATTCACCACCCATTTTAGAACCTATTTTAGTGGTTGGATTGGGATGTTCACTGGGTACGATCTGGATTTTGTTCCATGGGTGTGGCTGAACATTTTAGGAGCTAGGGTTACCCAGGTTTTAGTCTTTTGTTCCATTTACCAAGGTGACATTTGAGTACATGATTTTTACCCATGGCCATGTGTGTGTGTTTGTTGAGGGGTACGCTTTGTGGGACTCGCGACGCTCAGGTCACGGCTGCTTCTGGGCCGGCGATACACCACCCAGCAGCTGCCCGGCTGGAACCGGATCTCGGGTTTTAGGTGGTACTGTGGATGGACCTTAGGCGCCACCGTTCAGAATCCCAACGGTTTCCGATCCGATTCCCTATGGTTTCAACCATGGTTTCCCTTCGTGGTGCGAAATGGATTTCGTCCATCCACGGTACGTCAGTCTTTGGGCACCCCTCCAAGTTGGTTTTCTTGGAGGTTCAGACCCAAGGCCATGTAAGGCAAAGAGGGTATAGGGAACTATGCCATGCCTTGTGTGTCAAAAAAGAGGTTCTCAGATCCTGGTAGAATCCCGTGGAATCCGAGTCCTGCGGGGTTCAAGAGGTGGCTTTTTAGGATTCGGAGCAAACTGGGGGTAGAATCTCTAGAACGCAGGGGCACCCTTCGTTGAGCTGGGCGGGTTGCCTTCGGATTGAGGGCGCCTGTGGCTGCGCAGCCCTGGCCGACCCTCGACTGAGATTCCCCGATACCGGCAACGGCAGGGGGACATCGTCACAGATCAATAGTGAGCCTGGTGAGAGGAACTATCCCCATTCCCTCTTTCTTTTTTGGCTCTGGCGAATCTGGGCGAACGTCCACAGACCTAAGCTGTAGAAGCACCGCCCAAACCATTGGTTGAGGCAGGGTTTGGGTGTGAGTTCAAGCAGGGAAGCCTTCAAAAGTGGTGGATACTAATGCCTATCCCTCATGCTCAGATTCAGGAGGCGTCTTGATGTGTTGACTCAACCGGGAGCCGGCAACCAAGGATGGCTTTCCATTTCAACTGAACAAGAACCATGGGCGGCTTTCTTTTTCCCATCTCCCAGCCCGGACGCTTTTGATCCGTGGGTGTTGAACCTCTTGCGAAATCCTCCACCAAGACACCCTACAACGATGACTTTCCCTGCAAATACCAACAAATGTTATGGTTTCTCATGGTTTCAACATGGCGAGAAATGGATTTCGTCCACAGTACGTCCTGTGTGCCGGGGCTTCACTTCGGACGCTTCCGACGGACCGACGGACCGAGGTGGGCCGCGATCGCTCTGGTCGCCGCAGCCTGGGATCTCAGTCTTCGGTCGATCGCTTGGTCGCTCTCTCGTTGGAATCAGTGAGAAGTGTTTTTTAGTGCTTCCAAGACCAAACATCTATCGACTTGAAAACAAGGACCGACAAAAAACCTTCCATGATTGTTCTAAAGAGATGCACAAATCGATGATAATGCTTTACTTTTAAGTGGTTGTGTCTTGCTTCTTGCGTGGGCTTCATTGGCTGGTCGACCAAGTGCAAGCATGGAGTAGGGCGGGCTATCGCCTGCAATCTGCAAAGCCAATTCCTCACAGCCAGTCATGCGCCAGGTTCCGACTTTAATTGTGTGTTGACCTGTGTCAGATATGAGTTGCCATATCAACGTTTCAGAATGTGCCTGGGTTCCTATGTTTCATGCCTCTTCATCATACCCACCCGTACTGAGGTCACTCGAGCATTCTTGTTTAAAGCCGTTGCTGCGAGTCGATCTTTTAGCCTTTTGGTTTTCCGATTTTGGCAACTATTGATAGAAAAGGTCCCAACAAGGTTTACCTTTTGTTTCTGCTTCCAAACTGGGCAACTGACTTGTCTTGTTTCGCGTTTCGAAGGCCGTTGCTGCCTTCACGCAGGCGCGCGGCCGGTTTTTTTTGTTTGTCCGGGGGTGGGTGAATCGGGGGGCGCGGGTGAAACCTTGGGTTCGGACGCTTCCCGGATAAATTTCCGTGGTCTCTTCGGCAAATACGATAATATGGGGGTGGATCAAAAGGTCCTTTACATGAAACTATCATTGGGGAGAGAACCACGAAAAAAAGTAATAGTTCCCGCCAAATGGGGAAAGTTCCCACGGTCATTTGGGGGCCAGGAATATTGATCAACGCCCATATCTGAGATGGGCTAAATGTGTGGCTGTCAAAACACCTGCTTCTCTGGAGTTTCCATCAGTCCTGGGGCTGCCTGAAGTTCAGAAGCGAAAGGCCATGAGCCCCAAAACGATGTGGCTGGTCGCAGCTACACCTCCAATAGCGTTGGTTTCAAACAGTTGGTTTTCAGGATGTATGCAAAGAACACGCATGTGTTGCCGGACATGTTGTACACTTTCTTGAGTCTTCACTTGTTTAAAAGCACTGCAACGAGGACCAACTAGATGTGAGAAGAGCTAGCCATGTCGATTGGCGTGCTCCTATCTGGAGCCTGGAATTTTAGGATGGCTGGCACACCTAGGTCCAGATTGGATGGAGCTGCCGGAATTCGGGGGCCAATGCAGAGCGAATGACGAAGGAATGGACCAGTTTACGCCACAACTTCCGCAGCACCAATATGAGGCTCTCTTGCTTGAGATACAGGTTTCATCCGAAAGTGAGGCCCCCTTGCAAAGAATGCAAGAGCCTTTTTCCCGGGGACGAATTGTTTTCCTTCTGGTGCGACTGGCTGGATCAGTTGTCGAGGTTCGCCTACTCTACTACCGGCAGCGCACCCGGGCCACTGGGGGTGGGGGTGGTGGGGGTTGCTATGCGCCGTGGTCACGAGAACCGTGATTTGCAGGCGTTGGTTGTTCGGACAGGGAAGAACCTATCGTTTTCAAGTTAGTTACTTGGGTCAATTTCCTTGCCGTGGAGGCTTGAAAAAGCAAGAACAACGGGACTCCAGGAAAGGACCGGCTGAAGCCACTGCATGCGTGCCCTTTTAAAGCGTGCGTGTTCATGATGGGCTAGGAGACGGTTCTTCCTTTCCCAAATCAGCATGTTGCCATCCAATTGGCTTTGCATTTTGCTCATCGGCGCCGACTCCGGGCTCAAATGCTTTATAGGCCATCCAGTTGTCCAGCTAAAAGTTCGGCGCTGTAAAGCCAAGGGAGATAAAAGTAAAGTCAAGCCACACAAACATGTTGCGAATATCGCTATGGACTTCAGTAGAGGTCCAGCTCAAAAGTGGTTGGTGGACAAGAATCCCCACCGAACTTGATGTTCCCAAAAGAGCCTTTCAGCTACAGCTTTCTGCTGTTTGGCGTTGCCCCGCGCATTTTTCTTTCGTGACACAAATTTATGTAACAATGGAAGGTCCAGGCATGTAGCGGCATCAAGTTGGCTCATGTTTTTCCGGGTGCCCCTTTTGGGGTGGTGTGAAAGGGAAACCAAAAGGAACCACCGATGTTGGAGAGTCCCCTGTTTTGGCACCAGATGTGCCCCAGACTTGCAGTGGTGACTTTTTCTCCGTTCACAGCCATGATCAGGTATCCCTGAAACCATGTCGCTTAAATTGCTTATCGGATTGCCTCATAGATCGTCCTAAGTGGCTCACAAGAACTTCTCGTGAAGATTGCGCGCTTAATGTTGACCCAGGATTAATAAACCCGTCCCATTATTAGGGCGGGTGTTCCCCTCCAAAAGTGACAAATCCCCACTAAAACAGGGGGACACCCTCATATTAGTAAAAAGGGGTTTATTACTCGGGGGTCAACATCATGAACACACAAAACAATGGCAACCGGCTGAAATATCCTGAATTCCTTGGCACCAAGGCCACCCTACTGGAGCAGTGGCCGCTTCCTGTCGCCCGCCTTGGGCGTCGCAAGCCTTATGTCCAGTGCCCCCGATGAGAGTCGCAGCATCATGTTCACTGCGCCTGACTTCGCTATGGTCTTTGTTCTTCCGATTCAGCCCTGGCCCTGGAACATTCCATGCCTTCAATCGCTTGTGATCAGAGGTCTAAGGTGGGCCCTTTGCCGCGCCCACTTGCGCGGCGCTGTGGCCAAGGGCCCAAGATCAACAGCTCGACGGGCCACTGGGAATCAAGAGAGGCAGATCCTACCACCGATTGGCATACAACACCCTGACGTTTCGGGGTCCTGGTTTGGACCATTGTCCTTTTGAAGGGACCGGGACCCTTTCTTGGGTTCTGTGTTAATTGGTGGGAGGGTAGGATCTGCGGGTGCCTGCAAAGAGCTAGGCACAACATATTTTCTCTTCTGCCTGGATTTTTGCGCAGCGTTAGGGCCCAACCTTGAGGTACCTGGCTACCCCAAAGGCACCACAGGAATTGTAGGTGCCCAAAAGCAACCTAGTCTTGCAAAATCCTTTCAGCTTCCATGATTGACTTGGGTGGCTTACACTTGCAATGTCTAGGGAATCGACCCAAGCTCTCACCAGCTCCCCGTTTGATCATGGGATCTAGCATGCTCGGAGCCCGCCCAGCTAACCGGAGGTATTTTTCTTTCCTGCTCAGCCTCAATCCTCGCTGAGGGGCGCTTGCTGCCACGCTTGCACACTGCCTCGCAGGGTTTGCTCATTTGCCTGCAATGTGTGGGCCACAGCAGAATCTCTTGTAGCCCATTTTGCATGTTTTGAACTGTTTGTTTGGGTGAGCAGTCCTGTGTTGTGTCTGTTGGATATATTCAGTGTCGGCATTGTGTCGCGATATCGGGCCCCCCTGCGGAATTAGTTTCAGTCGGCTGTTTCGTTGTCAGCTTGTACTGGAAGGTGACTAGCTGAGAAAAGTTCAACACTATGGCAAAAATGTTCGGGGACAGGTCGCGCAAGATTCACAGATCCTGAATTACATTTCCCAATGCATTGTGATCAAATTATGGTATCATATTATTTATACTATTTTGGAAAAAATGCTACCCTCAGGTCCTATTTGCTAATCACACCAATCTTTGATTGAGAAGGTTGCAAGATGTCGCTGCCATCGAAGTTCGGTTGGGCTGTCAAGTTCAGGTCGCCGGCTTCAGCTTGGTGCACTCCGGTTGGCTGAGCTTGATGCAACCGTCGCTTACTGAACCCCTTGGAGTTTCCTTTGGAAGACCAAGGACTTGTTGCAGGTTCAGGCTGCTTGCTTTCCTATCACCCCTTTGGAGCCCCAAAGGCCCCACACGCCAATGGAAAAGGTTGCGATACCCGCGCGGCGATCCACGCGCGTGCGACGCGCGGCCAGGTTTTTGAAGAAGCCAGCCTCTACGAAGGTGCCGTTTTACATCCAGAAGCCTGTGGCCCCAGCAAGAAGGGTTCCATTGGCAGACCCAGTTCCCTGATTATGTTCCCTTAGAGTCAAGCACCGGATGTAAGTCGACCTTGGTCGTCAAAAGCATGGAACTCTGGTGGGGGTGGCGGACGCTACAAGGGCAAGAAGGGCGAAACGGAGCGGACAAGACACAGGATGTGTCCTGAAGGGGACACCAGACCTGATCAACAAGGAACCCCAAAGAAACCTTTTTGCAGAGGATGCATTTTTTGACATGTGATTTTGAATGGGGATCCGTGATTCTTGGCTGTTGATCTAGGAGTAGAGTTGGCGACTGCCGGCCATTGGCCACAGAGTTTGTTTTGCCGGTTGGCGGAGCCGCAACCGAGGCCGCAAAGCATTTCAGCATGCTGATCAAAGGGCACCCCGTCCAATCGGGCTGCAGCTATTAGTATCCATGACTTGACCGCGCAGTGTTTGGGGGTCAACTGTACTTCTCTGGCACCCGACAAGCTGCAATTTGGTCGCATGTCCTCGAAAACAAAGCCAGGCACCAACATTGGACAAGCAAAGTCGGTTGCCTGTGCGAACACAAGTTGACACAGAACATGCCCCGGTTTGGATCCTTGGCGCCCACTGGAGGCTAGACAAGTGCTGGCAGCCTACAGTTCCTTCAGTTCGTGATTTTTCCAAAAAACACAACTGACCCTGGTGGTTCCGTACCCCACATCCGCATACCACATGTTCGCCCCATGATATCATGAGTTGAGCAGCAATAAGAACAGATGCGGGTAATGTTGACCCCTTATTAATCAACCCCAGTTTATTATTGGGCCCCCTATCAACAAACTGGGGTCGATGAATATGGGGTCAACATTAGTAAAGGACAATCCCAAGTGCAGCCGCCTTCTTACTTACTTAGGTTCTGGGATCGACCATCTTAGTACCGGGTTTTGATCTTGGCCCGGTGGTTTCTTTCTGTTACCTTTTCAGGAGTCCACTTTTCACCTGCAAGACATCCGAAAAGGACTCCCAATCCGATCCCGAGGACCAACATCCTGCTGGGGGAGCTGCTGACGTCCTTCCTGCTGACCGGGGTCTACTTAGGCTACTTGGCGGACTCCGAAGGACCGGGATGCGATGGGCGCCTCTTGGAGAGCGAGCTCATTTCGGGGGTTCCATGGGCTCACCATGAGGGTTCTTTACATGGGGATCCCCGAACTCGCGGGCGCCTTGCGGCGTGCGAAGCCTTGTTCGCGCCAGGAGTCACAGCCAATTGCTCTTGGGATCAGGCGGGATGGGATAAGCGCGCCATCCGCGTCTTGAAATGGACGGCGAATGCTGAAGTTTTGGGGAAGGAGAGCTTCATTCAAGGATTGGGGGGTGTGAAGCACGTCTTGGAAGTAGTTCTGTGTTCACATTGATATCACCTCGGCGGTGGCCATTCAAGCTTGTGCCGCCATGTCAGCATCTTCGAGGGTACCCTTTAGGGAAACCAAAAATAAAATAAAAAAAAGCCAAGGAGAAGAACACCCACTTTAGGGGATCCCCCCAATGAAAGACACCCCTCACCATGGAACCCCCCTACGCTGCAGCTCTACGAGTTGCCTGGTCAAAGCAATCCAAGGAATCTCCCACTGAGTTTGATACTATGTTGCAAAAATGGATTTAGCAACTGCACTTGAAGTTCGTGTTGGTTTGGGTGCCCAGCAGTTTGAATTGGTGGAAATCCTGCACCTCGCAAAGGTGGCAGCACGTTGAACAGAAGGAGTCGTTAGCTTTGTACGGAAGTGCAGCAATGGCAATTTAGATCGGCGATGCGCTTGCGTAGCAGCTTCTTTCTGGATCTTGCCTTGAGGAGTAGCCGCCTGCTTCATTGACAGAGGGCCGGCGATAGATCAATTGAGCCACAATCAAAACCCGGGTAGATGGAGGTCGGCAAGCAGTCCCAGCCGGAAATAGGTGCGGATATCCGTCTTTTAGTTTCCTCGCAGCTCGCATCCATAGTTTGACTGCCTCGCATCCATAGTTCATCCCTTCAGTGCTTCAAATCCCATGCCACGCCCTCGGACCCATCTCCCGCCAGGTCGCAGACTACCGGAACATCCTGGTGATTTTGGCCACTTGGCGAGTCCGCGAGATTTCTGTGGTGCCTGTCACTTTGCTGATGGAAGGAGGAGGGGGCCTGTGGTGCTCTTTGCCCTTGATAGAGGGGATTCCCCTTCTTTCAGTTCATTTGCCCACAACGTTTGGTTGGAGTTTGCAATGTTGCTCGGCTCACAGATTCAATCGCATGCAGGTTGTGGTACAATAGAGACCGGGTGTTGCTGGCCATGAACATTTGATGGCATTGGTTTCTGTCTGGTTCTAAATAACCGTTAGTCCAGTGTGTTTCTTTTTATATATTTTTATCCAGGATACACTTGGGCATTTTTTGGTGGCCACCTGCCTTCACCAGTTCCAGTGCTTTAAACATGTTGGAAATCCGAAGGTAACAGTTCTGACTAGTTTTCGCAAATCTACTCGGGCAGAGAACCGCTTCGTGTCGGAAGTCGGAAGCCCATGATAAAAATGTTCAAAGCCACTTCTCCACCCGCTTTAGGCCCGAACGTCGCCTTGCATGCAAGCACAAAGAATGGCCGAGGAAGCGACTTTGTATAACAAACTAGTGTGTCTGATGCTGGGAAGGATGTATCATCGCCCGTGGCAAAAGGGCGTGGGTTGATGGTGAATGAATGACATGACTCTCAATGGTGGAGAAGTTTGGGCACCACGCCGCCCACTCGGCAGCAAGTCAATGTCCCTCATTTTGGGGCTTCGGAAAGGCGGGCTTCTGGGCCTTTGCCCTGAGCCAACAGTTGGGGCTTGACAATCTTTGTGGCGAGTTGGCTGGATCTTTGGACCTTGACTTTTTGGGACAGAGTAAGTTAAACTTTTTGCAGATCGGTCAGGAATTGCATATTTGGCGATCAATTTTAGCCATGCCCCCCCCCCTTCCGATTCTATTCAAGGATCCTTTTGTTCAAAAGATGTTTTTAATGAACAAGCCGCCCCCCAAAGCTCCAATCATCCGTCATGTCCTCCCCGAATGGGACCTCATTCAGAAGTTGCAACTTTCTTCAGGCGAATCGGATCACTCCACGTGTTTGGAAAGGTGCTGCTCGCCACATCATCTGTCATGTCCTCCCCGAATGGGACCTCATTCAGAAGTTGCAACTTTCTTCAGGCGAATCGGATCACTCCACGTGTTTGGAAAGGTGCTGCTCGCCACATCATCTGTCATGTCCTCCCCGAATGGGACCTCATTCAGAAGTTGCAACTTTCTTCAGGCGAATCGGATCACTCCACGTGTTTGGAAAGGTGCTGCTCGCCACATCATCTGTCATGTCCTCCCCAAATGGGACCTCATTCAGAAGTTGCAACTTTCTTCAGGCGAATCGGATCACTCCACGTGTTTGGAAAGGTGCTGCGAAATGGATTTCGCCACCATCAGTACGGGGCCTTTCTGCGGCCAGGTGTGGGCCGTGCATGGCTGGGTCGCAGGCCTCCTGGCCCGGCGCCGAGACGAGTTTCGCTTTGGACGACGGGTGTGACGGTCGGTTTTCATGTTTTGGGGCGCCCGTTCCAGGCGTTTTTTCTGGGGAACAGGACGCCGCAGTGCTTGACGATGCCCATTTGGGGCGTTTTGACATGGGAGCAAAAGAGCAGGTACCAATGCGTGGGGTTAATTTGGAGACCAATAGCCACGTGTCCAAACGGCCCTACAAATCGAGGTTTTTCTTTCGGGTTTCCCTTGAATTACCAACCCGCGGTTTGGGGTCCGTCAAAGGACACCCTTGGACGTGCAGTTCGGGCATTCGTTTGTTTCGTATCCTCTGCCTCCGAAGCTCGAGGAATCGCATGCTTTCCAGGGCTGACGAGCTTGATCTCTGCCGTTGCAGGCTTTCGGAAGCCCTGTGTTTGTGTTGCGAAATCCAGAAATGGCAGCACGTTGAAACAGGGCTCCTTAAAAGATACATTTTGCCCATTTGAAACATGGCCTTTTTCCACCAAAATAAAGGGACACCACCATTTACAAGGCAATGTTCAGGTGTATGATGTAAGGATCCCTGTTGAAACCATGGTTTCATTGAACCACAACGATTGTTTGTATCTTGCGTTGGGAATCGAATCAGAAACCGTTGGGTTTCTGAACGGTGCGGGAGCTCTGGATTTCGCGTCCATCCACCTCCAGAAGGCCGGCCTTTTGGACCAAAAGCTGATTTGTTCTCATTCGAGCGCTCTCATTTCGGGTAGGTCACAAGTAAGGCCATCAAACTGCCCTTTCCACTTTGCCATGGGTCATCCATGCATGGTTATATTGTTTCTCAAAAAAGGAATCGTTCTCCCAAACTGGTTGCTTTCCTATTGGATTTCCGTTCAACACCAACCAAACAGGTATGCGCAATTTTGAGGAGCTCGCCACACGAGCTGCAAGGGACACTTGCCAGAGCATCTTTCTATGACATGCTTGCTTTCAAATAATTTGGACCTCTCGATCCTGTATCTCACGTGATATGAACAGATTCCGCCACTATATGGGACTTTCATCCAAAACAATCCCAACAAATACCCGCAAAACAAGACACACCCAAACGTAGCAGACGCCCTTCGCTGTTTGCGCAATCAGCGGTTCTGGAAGAAAAAAAAGACGATGCGGCGCGCTTCGCCAGTCGCACTGGGAACGCTGATCCGACGCGGAGCCATAACCTGCGCTTGGGAGGTCCTCCAATGAAGACATGGGCCCCGGAACGCACAGAGACAACACAAATGTAGACACAGACACACGGACAGACACAGGTTCTCAAAGAAGGTCCTCAAAACTCCTGGTCACCAGTGGTTCCCTTCATGGCTGGTCATTGGTGTGACCTGAAATGGGCCCCGTCAGGACCTTTTGGAAACAAATGGCTTTGACCATTAAACCTACAAAAGGTTCGACAGACGGTTTGCTCAGGATGCTCAGGAAGAGCAACCTGACCTCAAACACCGAACGCCAGGTCAGGTGGTGGTACCTCTCTTGTTTTTAAGGGAGACTGCCGGAAAATACTCTCAAAATGCAGGCATTTTAGAACGACGCTCATTTGGACGTCCCAACCTTGGTCCCTGCAAGAGGATCATTTTTCTTCCTGCTAGTGGGAGGAAGGGTACCAAAAAATAGGGGATTGTCCAAAATGCGTGGTTTCCCTTGGGTTTCCCTTTAAACCAACCGAAAACCAGGGGGTTCCGCTCGCTAAAACGCCGACACCCCCAATGGGGCGCTGAGGTCAAGGAGTGCTCGGCCTTCGCGAAGAATGTCTCGCACATGGTCTCAGCAGGGGCGCGGGCCTCGATGGGATGGGCTCGCCCAAGTGGAGTTGCCCCCTCTATATCGCCGTGGGTCAAAATCCAAATCGTACCCCCAGTGAACATCCCAATCCCCACTAGAATAGACTAGAATGGGTGGTGCACCTACCCCAACATGGTACAATTGGTTTTGACCCACAGCCATATCGCCGTGAGTGGGGTCTGCCTCCCACTGGCTGAAGGCATTTGTGGCAGGGTACCTGGAATGAACAAACATGCTCTTGCAGGGACCCCCTGTCAGGTGCCATGTTAGTGGGAGGGAGCGGATCCTTTTGGAGGTTGTGACATGGAAGCGATTCCCGACTTGTTTCAGGGTGCCCTTTTGGTGTACGCTCTAGAAAACAACTTTCCTCTTCTGTGCTCCAGTCAAGTTCCATAGTGCGAAGGGTTGCTTCAGAAAAAGGAGGTTCCCTGAGACGTGTCTCGGGTGGTTGGCGGGAAATATGCAATCAGCATCAAACCATGCAGCACAGAATGACGGCACCTGGATCGCCAGTTGCTTTCTCCCAGCAACTCTGACAGATTCTTTGGGGAAAGTGTATGGAAAAAGCAACTTGGCTATCTAGGCACCTGAACAAGTTAAAAATGACAGACTGCCCAAACTGATGAGCCAGATTGCACCATTCATAAGCCGCCAGTCCGCATCCAATTCGGGCCTGAATCACTCAATCGAAAAAAATAGCTGGCTTTGCTAGATTGCGAATCCAGACTCCCAAGCATCAATACTATAGCTTCCAGGAATTGCCACTGTTGCTCCATCAAATGCTAGGCATGATGCTAGATTCTGAATGGGTGTCCTTCCTTCGATTCGGACTTTGCCTCCTTCATCCCTTCATCCAGTCGCGCAAGTTAACAGCAGGTCCATATTGATTCATATAATGATTCCAAGTCAACAGCCGGTTCGTGTTGATTCACGCCATGATTCTTGGAACATGTACCATGATTCTACATACCATGAATAACGCATGGTATGATTTGTCTGGTACTTTGTAATATACCATGCCCATTCTTTTCAGCCATCGTTCTTTTCAAAAACCAGTCATTTCCCCAGGGTTTTTGGTGGTTTTCTAGAAAGAAGGATCCCTAGAAAGAATGGAATGGGAAGATACCTCTAGAATACTCGGAACATGAACCCCCTTGGCTGGGCACACAAGTCGAGTTCCTTTAATTGGAGCTCGCGAGACTCCGCTTCCCAAGTTGCGGACTGTCGGAGTGGTCGCTTCTTGGGTTTGGGCCGTTTTAGGGGTGGCTGTGGTTGTCAAAAATAGTTGGGAACCCTTTGCACAATGGGTTGCCCCATAGGTCAACGGAACCAATTGGACTAAAACGTGCTTTGCTCCGATTCCTGGTGACCCATGTAAACAAAAGCTCGTTGAGGACCTGTTTGGGCCATCCACTCCAGTTCGGTGTGGCGCCATCCTTACTGAACTCCGCTGGGGCGCCACGGAGTCGCAAAACCAGGCAGAAGCCGAGGGATCAAACCCCTTTGCCGTAGATCCGGATGCCTGCAGCAAGGCCTTGGTTCTCGAAGCTTGGTTCGACGATGTTAAGCCCGGAAGGGTTTTCAATTTGACTGGCGAGGCGTGAGCCACAAGCCGAGTAGACCGTCCCAACTGGCCGCGGGCTTTCTCTACCAAAAGGGCTAAAGGCACGTAGCTGCACCGAAACGGGTCCCAAAAATTGGGGTTGAACCGGCACCAGACTTTTTCGAGAACGCGCCCCGGCTTGGTAGATTAGGTTAGTATCATGCATTGTGACTCCGGCCGTACTTTCTGAGAACCCCCCCTTACCCTTCTAGTGTGTAGATCATGTTTCATTGGTTCCATGACTCAGGTGATGTATTTCTTCCCCATCTTGGTCATCAGCGGCCCGGTGAACAACGGCCCGGTCACCGCCTGCGCCCTGCTGGCCCGGCGCTAAAGTTTAGGGGCCGAAGGATGACCAAAGGGTTTGGTCGAAACATGGTGACTGGGGTCAGTTGCTTTGAACTAAATATGAAGCAACATCTGAAGACATGGACTTTCTGGCCGTTTTTGTGGGCCAAGGTAAATGGGTTTCCTTTGATTTTCCCTTTATCTACCTGAGTTCGGTACCCTGACAAACCCCAGATGCACGTGAGCGACCGACAGCCATGTTGGGGAAAAACACCCACAAAACGGGTGGTTTTCCTTAGACCAAAAAGGGGTGCCCGAAAAGAAGACACGCATCTTCTGGTTTAGCACGCGAGAAATCCCGAGGATCCCCAGCATGAACCAATTACCGCAGAATAATTACAACCTATGGACGGGATGCAGAGGGCTTGAACGCCGGGCTCCGGGATACACCAGATGCCCAAGGACACCCCAAGGCTTTGGCCTTCCCAAATCTGGGGTGTGCTTCTGATACCCCTCCTTTCCTATATCTGGGGGGCCACCATTTGGCCGTGGCTCAAAAATGGTACAGAACATAAGTACCTTAAATGTGAAGCCTACCTGCGTAACCCACCCCCTTTAATTTAAGAAGAGCCACACCCATTTGGCCCACTCATACGCCATTGCCAATGTGTGGTGAATACTTTGGTGCATTTTGCTTGGATGTTAGGACTTCAACTTTTTGCCAACTAATGGGTTGTCCATTAAACCACCAAAAGTTAAACTTTTAGCAGTGGAGCAGAAAGCAACCGAGGATACTTGGACCAGCAACTCCAGAAAAAAGCCATCCGGCGACCCCGGCACTCGCACCCGGCCACCCGAGCGAGCGAGCGAGCGAGCGAGGTGCTCATCGCCATCTTGGTCTGGGGCCTCGCGCCGGCGCGGAAGTCCTCGCAGGAGACCAGGCGATCCGACCCATCCGACCGAGCCGACCGAAAGGAGCGAGCGAGGACGCGGGTCGCCCGGGTCGGCATGTTGGGGGAAGAAGGGGTCTCCACCTTTTCCCCCTAAGCTTGGCTCCAGCCATCCGGTTCAACTTAGGTTTTTGAGATCTTTTTGGCTGGTTATGTGGTAGTTTCCGTATTCAGCCCAAGTAAAGTTAAACCTTTAGCAGGGATCTGAGGACAGCCCAGTAATGTTGACCCCAAATTAATCAACCCCAGTTTATTCATGGGGGGGCTTTCCCTGGGTTTAGTGGGGAATCAGATCACTTTTGGAGGCCCCACCCCTAGTGATAAACTGGGGTTGATTAATATGGGGTCAACATCAATAGGCACTGGTCACTAGGCTGCAATGGCGGAACCGGTGTTTTTTATTTGAATTTACACCAGCCGTGTCTATGTAGAATTTCCTCATGTTGGATTCTCATTTTTGCGAACGCCTGTTTTTTTTTTTTTTTTTGGGGGGGGGGGGTGCATTTCTTTTTCAATCACACCTGGGGGGGTCCCGGTGCGTTTTCTTTGAAATCTCACCGGAGCCCCCAAGCGTAAACACCAGCCCAGAGGCGTGAATTCAACAAAAAAGCGGAGCCCCGGGCGTGAATTCAACAACAAAAAACAGTCCCGCCCCACAGGCATGAATGCAACAAAACAAGCACCGGGACCCCCAGGCGTGATTAAGGAAAAAAGAACACCGACACCCCCAGGCGTGATTTCCCAAAAAAGAAAAAAACAAAAACACCGGAACCCCCCACTTCAAAAAACACACCGGGACCCCCCGGGCGTGATTTCAAAAAAGAAAAGCACACACCTGGATCCCCCAGGCGTGATTTCGAAACATTATGTACTTCCAAAAAAAAACCACACCGGAGCCCTGTAATGGCCCCCCTTATCAAAGAGGCGAAAGATAAGTGAGTGGATGCATCATTTCCTCGAGCACCGGGCAAGTTGGATCTACTTTTACCCGAATGTAAGAGTGTACGGAACCAGAAGAGTTCGTTCCTCTCCTCAGAGGTTTAATGGGTTGAAAGTTGCAGGGGAGGATCATCCCCGAAAGGATGTGTGCACCTATTGCAGGAATTTATGCTATGCTACGTTGTTCTCACTTGCACAAAGCCGACCTTCTGACCTTTTGGTTTCCCTGATTTGGTCCATGTCTAGTCATGGCCCCCAAAGGCAGCGTTGGCTTGAATCAACGGGCTATACGGCTATACGTCCCTTGTCGCCTGCCTGGGTCCTTTGGGCAATTGAGTATTGTGACTGCCTCAAACTCGAGCGATAGAGCATTTCGGTTGACCTGTGCGTTGCATGACGGCTGTCCTCATCTTTCAGCTCTTTGATTCCTTGACGGTGCTGGGAGGCGCTCATCAGCAAGCCAGGCCGTCCCATTCGTAAAACAGCTGTTTCCAAAACCGTGGAAATAGGACACAAGTCAAGCCTGCCGCAGAAGCCAAACACAATACAAATACGGATAGATACCCGATCGAGGGCCATGTTTTTAACGGTCTTTCTGTGTCGTCGTGTCTTTTGTTTAATCGGAAATGCCAATACCACGTCACGGCAAACACAAGACGACTCTCGAGAGGCTGCACCACGGGGTGCACTTCGAGCCATTGCCCGAGAGCACGGGGTGGGAGGAGAAGATTTTGTGAGGTGAACAGTGGGGGTACCTGCACAGCGAGCCTGAGGTGTTTTTCGATGTCTGAGGCCACTAACGGCCACTACTTTGAAGCTAAGATGGTCATCAATGTTTCGTCCCTTCCTTGCGTCCTTTTGACAAAGACATTTTTTGAGGCGCGGTTTCATGACGCATGGGAAGGTGGGCCGCAACTTCACCCCAAAAACCGATCGCAGCAGTGACTGAAAAAAGCGATCGCAACTTGGCTATCTAGGCAGCAAGTCATGGAATGACGTAAAAACCATCCAACTGGTGGCTTCCTTGATTTGGGAATCCCCAGGGAAGCCTAACTCATTCCCTACTTCTTGCAGCAAGTCTCAGGTTGCCCGAGAGCAAGCTCCAGAGCCAGCTCCAACGGCCCTTTCTGCGGAAGGCGGGGGCCGGGGGCTGGGGGGGGGGTCCTTAATCCCGTCTGGAGTGAGCCGCCGCTTTGGGCCAAGCAATCGGTGTTCTTTCCCGAAAACAGAAGAAACAAACACCCCCGAAGAAGGGGTACCCACTTAAGAATCTGGCGATCCCTTTGTCGTTTGTGTTTGATTAATATTTTCTTGACAAGCCAAAAGGGGATAGATAGGTGTCAGTCTCCCCCAACAGCTGAAGGCTATGGAGTCTTTGCCCAATGCTTCGGACTGGGGGATTGCGCGCTTGCTGCACCCTGATAGGCGTTTGAGCCACCCAGTGAGCTTCATTGACATATCGTTTGACTCAGGTGAGACGGTTAGGGAGTAGCCTTTAACACATCAATGACCAACTAAGATATCCAAGTATTGAGGTGGCCACATTTCGTCAAGAGCCCGAGGCAACCCTCTTTCAACTTCCTTTGACAAAGTCAAGGATGATAACAAGACTAAAAGTGATTGCAATTAGATAGGAGGGGGGCTATTTTTCGCAATTTTCTCCCCAGAATGAACAAGGATATACCCTTTATATGATGGCTAGAGTGAATATTAAGCTTCTGGGTGTGGGTGTTTGGGGGTAGTAGACACCATCTTAGATTGCAGCACCTGGCTCAGCTGGCCCTGCCCAGCATGGAGTGAGCGATCGCCAACCCTAGCTTTTGGGGGTTCAACAGCATGTGGGTGGCTCGAGTTGGTACTCCGGTTTTGGTGGTTTTAAAGGGAAATGAAGAGAAACACCGACGCCATCTTGGAGGGGGTCCCTAAAAAACAACTGTGATGTTTCTCGTGATACAGGGTTTGTTGATCAAGCGAGAGGGTGCTTGAAGGATCCTATTCCATTCGCAAACGGCATGCCACGTTCACTAGAAAACGGCATGCCACAAAGGGCCGTGGTTTCTTAGGTGGTGCAAAATGGATTTCGTCCATCCGCGGTTTTTCCCAACGACGTCTCCCGTTTCGGGGCCCCGGTCCCAAAATTCGCTTCGGACGCGGAGGTTCAGTCAGTGGAGCAGATGCAGCAGATGGCGGCGGTGAAAGCGGCCCTGGAAGGCCCGACGCGGAGTTTCTTCTCAACCCGGGGGTTCAAAACCCGCGGATTTTTGTTGTTATTTTCCCATGTGATGAGTACCATTCTGCCATTTGGATTTGCCATGGCGCTTTCATGGACCCGATGTTCACCATGAAAAAACAAAAGTCAGAACCACCCCTTTGAATAGAGACCAGCCAATTTGTGTCACAGCAGCAGCCAGGGGCGGAAAATTAATCCAATGTTCCCATGTTCTTTTTGGGTGGGATAGGTAATTCATGTTTGCCATCGGCTGGAGTATCATTTGTGGCCAACGGACATCATTTGGACAGCGAAAGCGCAGCTATAGCAGCTGCAAAGGGAAACGAGATGAAGCAAATCGGTTGTCCTTCCTAACTTTTTGGCAGAGAAGCATTTGGAGTGGGTTTCTCTGAGACCCTTCTGAACCACTCATGCAGTATTCAGATATGACTTATTGCTGGAGTTCAGTGAATGACTAAGTTGGTTCCTTTTCATCATGCTCCCGAACGTGTCAAGAAAACATGAGGGAGCCCAACGGACCCCGTCATTGAGCGATTTTTTCGGTTCCATGTTGATTCCACTTTGAGAACGGTATTCAATTAAATTCGCAACCAGTCACTGGCAGCGACTGGGAGGAGCTGCGGACGGCTTTCCCCACATGGGATTGCTGGCAAGGCGCCTAGGTCTCACCCGCAAACTTTCTGGGGGCCGCAGACATTGCCGATCCCTCGTCAGTTTTACTGGACTTTACACTTTTTGGGAAGGCCATTTTGGCGGAAACAAACGGTTCGGATCTTTTTGTTCGCCAATCCGCGCGAGTTTCGCGTCCAGTCAGGCGCCTTGTCGCAATCGGACGCCAACCAATGTGAGATTTGCAGGCCCACAGGCCTAAAGGAACTTCCAGAAAGAGCTTTGACCATATAAGGACGACAGATGACTGAACTGGCGCTGAGTATGAGCACACCAGGAGGACACCCCCCACCGCGCGCGCGCGCGCGCGCGCGCGGGTGTGTGTGTGTGTGTGTGTGTGTGTGTGTGTGTGGCCCCCCTGTTTCTAAGGGGTTTCTGCTGTCTTTTTGAGTTTGGAGTCGAACGCCACCTTGCTGGATGTCTCAACATGAAGTAGTGTCACCTGCCGATGGCGTTCCTGAAGAGGATGGTCGGTGGCACGAAAGATGTTTGAGCATGCAGTAAGCCGAAACTCCATTGCCCTGCCGGAGACCTTCAAACAGCCTGTGCCTGCATGGTGGTGCGCATTGTCAGTTTTGCCGTCTCATATCAAGTGTGTTTAGGCACTGCGTCCGGGCTTCGGTCAGTGTCTTGATCCCTGTTGTGGGCATCTGTTCCGACTCATGCACTGACATTTTCTACAGACTGTTACCGGACCTTGTCGCTCGTGACGCTTGACTGTTCCAGCTGATCTTCTCAATACAGGCTTGGACTTCTCCCAGACCTACCAGCACCCCAGACTGTTTCCGTGAACCTTTTCTGTCAGACCAACTGTTTGACAACCAATCAGACTACCCGACACATCAGGTGAAAAATCACGACGCCGTCAGCTTGCTCTTGGCTCGCATTTGTTGGCAATAGATGTCTCGCCCCCACGCAGGTCCGATGTCGAACTCGGCAGGCCCCATGGCCAAGGCATCCAGGAACACTGCCGGCCCTACGCCGCCCAGGTCTCCAGTGCACCAGTCAGCATCACCGAGCAGGAGTACGCTTGTGACACCAGCTTCTAGCATATCTTGCGCGGTGTCCAGCACCTCAAGGGCTGCCAAAGCTGCGGTTCCGGCTCCTGCTCCCGGCGACGCCTCGACATCGATCCCTACCTTGCAGGTCTGGCCTGCATCTGTAGCTGGCCCGCTGCCGCAAATCCTGGTGAAAGCACGCCCGGCCACACCGATGACACCAATGACTCCAATGACGCCAACCACCCCGACAGTTTCAACTACAGCATGCCCACCTATGACCACAGCACCGACCCCTATCGCACCGACCCTACGGCAACCCCATCAGGTCAGATGCTTCCACCGCCCAACCCACCATCCAGGTCACGCCACACGACGGAGGGAGACCGGTCACGCTCCCACAACGCTTCCCCCTACTCCAAGTCAGTGCCCCCACAGCGGCGAGGTCGAGCTCGCTCCCGGACGCCACCTCCGATCTCCCGAAGGGACTCAACATCGGACAACTCCATCACGGCAGCATCGAATATTGCCGCGCCGGCGCCCACAGCAGCCAAGTCCTCATCCCGGGCGCCTACGGCAACTAAAGCCTCATCCCGACGACCGAGAAGCAATCGATTTCCACTTCCGCGTAGCAGAAGCAGTGCCCCATCGGCTCCAGCCTCCAAGGCCACAGGTGCTCACCCAGATGTGGGGTCGTCCTCGAGGAGCATGCAACTACGCCCGAATCCGCAGGCACATCCACCGCTGATCCTGCTTCCCAACCCGGAGTCTGATCCCTGGAGGAACGAACTTCAGGTGCTGGCCGCACCATATCGCCGTGATGGGATCCCAGTCAATCAGGAGCAGATGGACTACGTGGCCGCTACCTTGAATGCAGCTGGTATACCGTCTCAGCACTCCACTCTGAACTATGCGAAGGTCAACCCGGATCATCACTTTTATAAGATGACTCCGCACTGGTTCATGCTGACCGTCCCTTACCTTGGGGCCACAGTTCGGCTCAAAGAACCGACGAAGACGCGACCCATGCTGCTCTGGACTCACGCTTCCAGTGTTGGAGGTACTCGCGGCATCCTGCGGAGCCGACAGATCCATCCTTCCCGGCAGCACTCCTCGGAGTGCCCAGCCTTTTATGCCCAGGGCTGGAAGATCACTGGACACGCCGACTACGACGCTGAAGAAATCGCTCGCACGATGAGCCAGAACTGGAGCATGTCTTTTAACATGGCCCAATTGCTGTTGTTCGGACGCGCTGTTGGCACCTGTCAGCCGATTCGATCGGGAGGAGAGCAAGCTTGCATTGAGGCCCTGGACTCCAGTGAACGTCCGGATGTCATCCACTATGTGTCGGGCAAGTGTTGGATGGTGATCCCGGAGGCAAGTCAGATCGTTGGACTCGCATGGCCTACCGATACAAAGCCACCCACTGGTGTCCTCCGCTCGTGAACCTGCACCAGGAGCTGTTGTAGCCAATGACAATTAATGATGTTTCATTGCGAATAAGAGCATACTTCGCCACACTGCCGTCTTCGACTACCGACGATATTTTGCGACAAAAAGTGCACGCCAGAGCCTCATTCGAGTATGTGTTGACCTTACTGCAAGGTTTTTCCTTTTTGAAGCTTCGTGTAACTAATGCTGTTTCTCGGTCTCATACTGCCCCGGGCCCGGTCGAAATTCGGGGGTCGTTTTGGCAATGTTTGTTGTCTCAGCAATGTGTGGCGTACCCCTAGCGTTTAACCCATTAGCAGTGTTGCCGGCAACCTCCCATCTCGTGATGGCTTCTCAGTGGAACTATTCATGGCCGGCGGCATCGGCACCCTCTTCCTCTTCGCATCCGGGATCCTCGTATCTTCCGTCATGGTCAGTCCCGCAGTCCCAGCAGGAGGTATATCTCAGCTCCAATCGGATGGAACCCTTGCAACATCAACTTCGAGAAGAAGCAACGTCCCGCGTCAATCCCCCTCGGCCCCCACAGATGGCTCACCAGTTCCCTCCTCAACCTCCCGGTCAGTTTTACAACTATCACGGTGGTGGAACAAACCACATGCAGACAGGTCCCCGTCCTCCGCCACCAGCACCGCCAGCTCAACCTCCAGTTCGGGCACCTCTCGGCCAAGGTGATGCAACGCAGTACACTCAGTCTCGATACTCGCAGCTACTCCCCAGCACCTTCCAATCTGACGACATCTTCCTCGACAAGACGGAGGTCCGTGGTCTGCAGCTGTACCGTCTCGTTCAGCCTACTCAGTGGTCCAGAAGAGTCGGGCTCGCAGGAACAGCTATCCTGGATCTTCCACTGACACGACTTCTTCGAGGAGGAGCAGAAGATCACGCATTACGAGCACTGTCAAATGGCCGCTACAGCACACCAGTCATGGCTCAGACGATAGCCGAGGCAGTCTTATTGACATCCATTCTCAAAGCATTGAGAGGCAGGGAGGTCGACATCGACAGGACAGCTCGCTCTCTCCACGCGGACAATGCGCCGGATAAGCGCAATGAGGCCATGCAGTTTATGGAGCCACTTGCACTCAAAATCGTGGATCTCATGGAGTCCTCGCAGCCCGCCAAGCAGGAGAACCTCACCCGCCACAAAATTGCCGAATTGGAACAACAGCTGGAGCGCTACAAGAACAAGGGCATCACTCTTACACCGGATAAGAAACTGCCATCCTCGTCCCCTTCCAATGCCGCGTCCTGGACCCCCACGCCCGGCCGCTCTGACCAGTCCCTCTACATCAACGCGGCCAACTCAGATCAGCCAGGACCTCCCCTACCAGTTCCATCTCCAGAGGCCGATCCAGCCCCTAAGAGACGACCGGCAAAGAGAAAGACCCCGGCGGCTGCCCCGGATATCACTCTAGACTCAGAACTTCTACGTCAAGGAAACCCCAAAGGTCAACAGGTGCCACTTCCCACCAGCCTCACGGACAAGGTCTTCAAGGCATGGCTACACGAACGCACGCTGTCCAACCAAGCGACCTACCTTGATCTCATCAAGCAGGAGCTGGCATCAGACACAGTGGAGCAGTTGAAAACCATAGCAGTCAAGTGGGGGGCCACCATCTCCTTAGTGAGCAAGGGATCAAAGCGAGCACTCCTGCAGTTCATCACGGTTATGTACATGTATGGCAAGTGAGGGGAGTGGCGGTAGCGCTCACGAGGAAGGAAGTTAGCACCATTGACACGACTGGCACGAAAAGCCCGCTGCTCCTCACGCCTGCACCTTGCCCTGAGACCATCAGCGGCCTTTTCTCCTTCCTTTTCGTTTTCCTGTGTTTCTCGGGGTCGCGGGTTGGGTTTTTCCGTTTTTTCCCGATCTTTCCTGTTGACCCAATCAACCGTTCAGTGCTCGAGCGTTGGATTCATGGCTAAGCCATGCCGGTCATTCAATCTCCAGAAACGGTTCTTCTTCTGCAACTATACAGCAAGTATGCACGGTCGGAGCTTTACAGTGCAGCCAGACATTATGGTATCCCCGAGCCGTCTTGGCCAGTGAGCTTGCAGCATGGCACCGATTATTTCCTTCCCTACATCGCTGCGCTTATTGCAATCAGACTCGGGGACTCCCTCAATGTGCATGCAGCCCATCAGTATTATCAGGTTCTCTACCTGGTCATCGTCACGAGTCGCCAAATCCTCAACATGCCGATGGTCAACAAACAACTGTCTATGTGGTCCGAGTCAATGTCCACGCTGTTGATGGTTCATCACTACGGTCGTCCCACTCACGCACTCACGGAGCTCAGGCGCCGACTCCGGCGTTTGCGCATCCACCCGAACATGTACACCTTCACCCACTTCTTGCAGCCCAACGCAGTGTACTGGAAGCAACGAGTCGAACTCCGCCCGGACCTTCCACGCTCCGTCAACCCGCAGTCGGACGTCTACATTGGAAGCACCAGCATCACTTATCCCAGTCGAGAACACAATCGTAGGGCCAAGTTACTGGGTATTCAGCACGGACAGTTTATTAATGCGGAGCCGGCCCTCAGATGGTGGCATCATTTCGGCAACTATGACGAGTTTGCTACATGGGTCATCTTGACAGACTCCGACCACACCGTCACCTGGACCCAGGAACACGCCTTGATCAGCATCTATCAGCCGTCCCTCAATTGGCCCTACATCTATCGGCGGTACAAGCGCATTTCCACCGGCTATACAGCTACCAGGTTTCTTGCCGAACAGCCCTGCTCCAGGTTCGGCAAGCGCCTTTTCCTCCGCTTGCGCAGGAGGAGTTGTACAGTCTATGGCAGGAACTTCCATCGGGTGGCGCTCAAACACACCCAAGCCTGGTCCATCATCGCTCGCCTCACCTCGGAGCACATTGAATCCTGGGAGGAGGAAAAACGACTTCGTAGTGGACGGCATTCAGACTTGGATATATATGCTATATACAGGCTGTCAGGCAATGTGGAACAGCCCCACCGGCATCGAGTTCGGAATATTTTGCGAAGAGTTCTTGATTTCCGCCAACTCCAACAACCCAAGATCAACTTGTTGTTGCGATTACCGTGGCTGTCCCATCCCCATTATCAGCGGTCCACCAGGGAAGTCCTTCGTCGGCTTGTTCTCGACCATCGCAACTGGGCTCTTCCATTTCACTTGCCCAGCACGAAGTTGGCGGAGACCCCTCATCCTCGGGTTCATACAGTCATGTGGAACTTCTCGTCGTTTCAGGACAGTTACCTCCTGACATCCGCAGGACCATCATCGTGTCAGTGCGCAGGTTGGCTAAAACGACAGCCCTGGCTATCTCATGTTCAAGGCCATGTGGCCGCGGAATTGGATGAGTTCCGGTTTCCGGGAACCCCGCAGCACGTTCATTACACCTCAGCCCTGGCGTCATATTATGTGGACCTTTCAGTCTACGAAGTGCAGGTTCATGAACGCCTACGAAAATGGTGCCTGCACCATGGTCTGCCCCTGGACCAGTTCCACGCACCCCTCATGCAGCACCTACGCAGTCAATTTCTGAAACATCGGCAGCACGCATCCACCCATCAACTCCTCACCAAGCACCAGCTGAACATCCTGCATCGACACCTCGGCCAGGACTTTGTGTGCCATAACGAGGATCATGACAACCACCACCTCATGTTCTTCTGCCCCCAACTCTACTTCAAAGGCCTCCACAACACCTGGCTTCAGTCCGGCACATTTGCCGCCACTCCGCTGAAGGCCGACCAAGCCGAGGCTCTTATTGTTGAAGCTATCCCCCGACACCTGCAGAAGAGGTACAAATGGGCATACAGGAAGAAGACCACCGCGATCCCGGTCGGAAAAGTTTTTCTCAAACGTAAGAAGCAATGGAAATCGGGGCGAGCTATTATAGCCTACCATAAGGTGGTACATCGGCAGCTCTTTAAGGCGGTTGCGATCCTTCTCGGCGAGATCGCCGCGAGTACATGGAAGTGTTCGTGGGGGGTACACCCCACGCCGAGGATATGGCAGAACGTCAAACAATACTTTGACAACACAGACGATACAGTCACTCTCGCATTTCACAATGACGATTTGGTCGGCTTCTTCAACAGTGTCCCTCAGGATCAGGTGTGCGCAGCAGTCGAGCAGCTATTAGCAGAGCACCGGCGAGAGCATCCTGGTCTTATCTATTCGGTGGAAACTCAGGCGGCGGTCCACTACAACCGGGTGTTCGCGGGTAAGCAATCCTACGGACGCACACCGACTACGCGGGTCATTTATGTGGAGGACATCCTGGATATAGTCAAATCCAGCTTCCAATGCATGTACGTCCAGGTGGGGACTCTCATTCTTCGCCAAGTCCACGGAACAGCGAGTGGCTCTCAGCTGAGCCCAGTTCTCAGTCACATTTGCGTCGCGCGGCACGAAGTTCTTTGGCAGCGTATTTACGGACAATGGTTCGCCAGCCACAACATCTTCTTGGAGCGATATGTCGATAACAGATTTGTGATCTTCCCGTCTCCGGCTTCCGGTCACCCGGCAGCCCCATTGGAGGCTCTGCTTCACGCTGACTTTTATGGCGCACCCATCGTGTTGGAACAGGTGGGTTCCTCTGAGTTCCTCGGCTTCGTCATCGACGTAGGCGACCGTGCGATTTACTACAAAACCCCAACAAAAATCTGGCAGATCAGAGGACCCCACACTGCAGGAAGTCTTTCTACCCTTCTCTCCGGGGCTAGATCACGGTCAGCACTCGCTACCAAGTATGCGCATCCGGCCCGAGCAGTACAGATGGCGTTGGATCAGCTTCGCAGTATCTATTTGTCCGCCGGCTACAAGTCAGCGGAGCTGCAGCACTTGTTTCATCTTCCGGCCATCCCAACCGGAAAGAATGTTTACGTGCTGATTGTCGTTGTTTCTCGAGGTTCGACTGTGTGGCTCTTGTTGGTTCTGTTCTGTTCGGTCTTCTTCCAAACCGGGTCTGGCTCGGTTGGGCTGTTGCGCTCGGTTTTTCTGTTTGGGTTCCGGGGGCCCCCTGACTCTTGGGTTCGTCACGGAGCTTGTCTGGTGGTTCAAGACGTGGGCCTTGTCGCCAACATCGGAAAGCGATCGTCATGCTCGGACGCATGATAGCACTTCACCACCGAATGACCCAGAACGCTGCGGACATGATGCAGCTCATCCAGGAGACCCTGAATCAGGCTGACGAGGCACACAGTCGCAGGATTCATGGCGGGCACGATTGCGTGCGGCAGCATCATGTCCGAGGTCTGTCGTTGGCAGAATCATCGCGACCGCGAGCACACGACCATGCACGACTCGATGAGGTAGAACCACTTGGCCCCGGGACTCGGCATTCTGTCAACTCGGAGGATCTGGCCGACCCTCCACCACTAGTCGACTTTCAGTCACTCCAGCTACACGTGGACCACCAGCACAACGCAGTGGTTAACCCCAAGTCGTTGTCCTACGGCGTCATCACGGGGGATGCCAACGAGGCTATAGATCCGCGCCCGAAGAGCTCCATGGCGCGCGCCCATGCTGGTCAGCCGAGCATCAAGAAGGCCAATATTCCCAGCTCCATCATGGACAAGGGTGGCACCGATCGGCGCAGAACAAAGCGGAAGCGATGCCGTGCTACATCCTCCGAGAGGACGCACTCCCCGGAACCTCCAGCACGTCCAGTACCTCGCACTCCAGCGCCAGCTCCAGTCTCTCCTTGCGTGGGCCTGTTCTCCTCTCCTGAATCCCTTCCTCAACCTCCGGCTCGTGCTCACTCCGATGCCGGCAATCCAGGAACCCCCCCGGAAGTACCTCGCGCCTGGACAGAGGAGGATGACCAGCAGCTTTGCAGCCTGAAAGCGGACAACCGGTCCAAGTACTCGTACAAATCGCTGGCCAAGAAGCTCAACCGGTCCATCGCGGATGTCACGCAGCGCTGGAGGAGCCTGGAACGTCTCAGAAAGCTGAAGGAGCAGCATCAGAAAGCAACCATTTCGAACCAATGCACCTGAGCCCAGACGGTGATGCTACATGTCAAAATGACCGTGAGCAATTGATCATAGGCAGGAGTTCCGCAAACAGTCCAAATTACCCATCGGGAATCATGATGGAGGCGGCTTTGAGACCTTTCGGTTTTTTCCCCCTGCGGGGGGTGTGTGTGTGGCCCCCCTGTTTCTAAGGGGTTTCTGCTGTCTTTTTGAGTTTGGAGTCGAACGCCACCTTGCTGGATGTCTCAACATGAAGTAGTGTCACCTGCCGATGGCGTTCCTGAAGAGGATGGTCGGTGGCACGAAAGATGTTTGAGCATGCAGTAAGCCGAAACTCCATTGCCCTGCCGGAGACCTTCAAACAGCCTGTGCCTGCATGGTGGTGCGCATTGTCAGTTTTGCCGTCTCATATCAAGTGTGTGTGTGTGTGTGTATACATGGGATTTCTCTTAGCAGCTTCAGGGAGGGCTAGGGTCACCATGGTCACCGCAAAAACGCGCCGCTCGAGGGAGCCGTGCAATGGGTCTTCGCGAATGAAGCTTTGGGGCAAAGAGCTGCAGCTGGGATGAAAGTTCTTTCTAATCGGTATTCACCAGACAACACAAATAAATAAGTATATATATATATTATTAATATATATGCCATTGCCAGATGCATTACAGCCCGGTGGCCGTGGCTTCTTGGTTTGCTCCACATTCAGCCCTCCGCTGTTTGTGGCTGGAGCGCGGCCACTTGTTTCTTGTTCTTTTGTTGTTTTTGCAGGGGACGCGGGGTGTGCACCTTTAGATCACAACGGCCTAAACTTCCGGGTCATGGTGTTGAGATGTGCCGAGCTGGCTTGCATTTGTTGATCCGTGATCCGCTCATGTGTTGAATGTAGGCAACCGCGAAATCCAGGAGTCCACAGCCCTCCAAGGCCCTCCATTTTCCTGCTTGGTCATTAAAAGTAAACAGCTTTCAGCAGGGGAGCAGTTTGGGCCCGTAAAACAAAAACCGGGAGGCCGCCCAAAAAGTTACTCGTTTTGCCCCCTCCGAAAAAGCACGAACCCATGTGTGGCGCTTTCAGGTCATCGCCACCAAAAAGTGGCTCGTTTTGAGGTCCCCCTCTCCGGACAAAAGGAACACCTGGGACTTTGACCCTGTTGCCCCGTGGCGCCCTTTTTTCCCCTGTTTTTTTGGGAACCAATCAAAGAAGGAGGCCCCTTTTTTTCCCCATGGCCACTGGGCATCTAAGTTGAGGTCATCAGCTTCATCCTCCTGGACGCGGCGAAGCCCTTTGTGGTCAGCTGGGCCCATGCCAACAAGGCGAGGGCTCGCAGGGCCTTCGATGGGATCCCGGCCCGGAGGGCCTCATGGAACTGAAGGAGCCCAAATGGGTCTATCATGGCCTATCTCTTTATAGACATTCTATACAATACATATATATATATGTATATATGTATGATAGTATGTATATATATGCATATATCTTTGAGGGTACCCCTTTTTTGGTTGATTTTAAACGGAAAGCACCAAAGAAACCGTTAACCGTTTCATTATTTCCTTGGTTGTTTTAAAAGGAACACTAAAAGGAAGCCGTTGCCATTTTGGGGGGGTGCCCTAGAAAAGGACAGAGCCAAATGGAAGGGGGCGGAGGGCGGAGACATAGAATGGGGACTCTGAGCCAACTTATCTGGGTGAAGGTTTGTCAAGCCCCCAAAGCTTCAAACCAAGTTGGAACTCAAGTTGGGAGAATGTTTGTAAAGCCCGTGTGAACAATAAAGTAAAACGCGTGCACCCAACAGTTCCCCCAAGAAATTGGCCCCCCTGATATGTCGGCTGACTCCAAGGTGAACTTTTTTTTCACGTGTCCTTTGTGGGTACGAAAAAACACACAAAAAAAGAAGAAACAACAACCACATGTATACGGGCCATATTTTTTGTTCAGTTGGTGTGGGGGATTCTCGGGGCTTGGGCACGCATTTTTTGTGTGACACTCGAGTCATAATCCAAACCCTTTTACGTGAAGCTTTGTGACAGACAGTCCCAACTACGAGCAGATGCCAGTCTCCGCCCTTTTTCATGCTTTACATATCTTTAGGTAGAGGTCTTATGAATACCAGGAACGGGGACTGGCCTGTTTGATTCAAGATTTCACCAAGAAGAGGCCCATTCTTTACAGCCCAAACAAAAAACTGTCTGTTCTTTGCAGCCCTCTGCCAAAAGAAGAATGGACCCCCAAAAAAAGAGAGCTAAACTTGCCAACAACGGCAAACTATGTTCACAAGGGTCACACCCCCGGCGGGGCGTTTCTGGATCGCCGCTTTCGTTTTTTCGGGCGAATCGGATCGCCCCAAGGTGCAGCTCGTAGAACCGCCGCTTGCCAAACGAACAATGTCTTGCAGTCACAAAGAAGCCATCCATGCGCGGCTTTCCACCTTGGGCAAAGAGTGTTCCAGCTGGTCAGCCAAATGAAACTGTGCCCGGTTTTTGTTTCTTCTTTTTTTTCGGGCCCCCTAGCAAAGGTCCAAAGGTTTAGATGGAGGTCAGACGATCGGTTCGGAGGTTTGCCGTTTGCTTCTGAAACTTTACTAGCCAAGGGAACTCAGAAGCACCATTGGCTTCAAGAAATTTGAACCACTTTTTCATTGCAAGTCAACCAATAAGGCACCACTAATTTCACCATTGGCTCTCTTGAAATCTGAACCACTTTCAACAACCCACCCCAACCCACCAACCCACGGGCAAACGAAGGGCCATCCCCGCATTCATCCCCGCCGACATCCGCCGCCTGATTCGTCTCAAAACGAGGCTCCGGAGGAGGCCTTCAACAACTGCACGCTGGTCTTGGTGCAGTTGGGGCATCTCAGAGTCTCAGAACCCCCAAACCGGAACCGGAGCCGAAATTTCTCGCTGGGTTGTGGTAGGTTCCTGACAAGGGACATGGCCGAATTGTGAGATGTGTGTCAATAGGGGATGCCTATAGGTGGCCTCGGTGAGCTCCTGCTGAGTTCAGAGATACAAGGAGAATCAAGGATGGATCAACTCCAGGAACCTGATCAACTCCAGGTTGCTTGAAAGGGGTGCCCCGTTTTGGAAGGGATGAACATCACTTGTTCTCGTTTCCTTAAGGGAAATGGCCGGATCCTTACATGGTGTATAGTCTGATTCCGTTGGAGGTATTAGATTTTTTGCGATAGTCAAACATGTTTGTGCCGGTCATCATCATGAATCCAGATGGAAAAGAGCGGCTTGTCTAAAATCAGCTGACGATGTGCCAAGTCCATTCCATTGTAAAAGTCCGAACCACCAAGGCCTCTTGATGTCAACAGATGGTAAGATGCTTTTGGTGGATAGAAAAGAGTTGGTCTCTTTGCAGGGCACCCACTGAAATGGTTGTTTTCCTTTGGGGTTTCCCTTTAAACCTCCCCAACAAGGGCTACCAAAGAAAGAAAGACAAACCCAAAAGGTGTGGAAGACATTTCTGGACTTTCTTTTGTGCGAAGCATCAATGTTCCATCCTTCCCTCCAGCGCGCTTTTGAGGACTTCGCTATCGATGGCTGTAGGCCGGGTGTTCATGCGAGCACTTAGCGTGTTTGCAGCCTCTTCCGACTCTGAAATATGGTATCATGTTGCAAGGTGGCATCCAGGAAGAAAGACGGTTTCGCCCTCCCGTTCTTTACCATCCGCCTCTGCCTCTCTGAATTACAGTGCAACCGTAAAATATGGAAGGGCGCGGAATTGAGGGAAATCCAAGCTCTGAACTGCTTCGCAATCAAGATGGGCAAGATCAACTTAGCTAGTTTGTATCACAGGGCCAGGATGGGCTCATTTGCAGCTTCACTTTGTTCACTGGAGCGTGACCATCAAACTCCTTTGTAAGCCCTGTGCCCTCTGGCGCAACATGGGACACGGCAGTCACCTTGTCTTGAGAGGGTTCAGTGCCAGTCTGCCGTGATTTGTCTTCACCACCAGTTCAATTCAGCTTCCCCCAAATTGATGGTTTGGATAGTTTGGATTGGGTTTGAAGCCCGGTTGCTTCCACGGGGCAAGTGGGAAACCACCAAACCCACCCTCCAAATCACCAAACCACCAAACCACCCGTTTTGGGGGTAAGCCGAAGATTTCTGGTGGAGTTTACTGGTGAAATGTTCAGTGCTGGATGTTGGATTGTTTTTTTGTAGACATCTTCCAGTGGTAGTTGTTTTGGCTTTTCGCTTCCATTGGCCAGGCCTTTTGGTGGCAACGCGCCCGGCAGTGCGCCTCAGGAGCTGCGTGCCGCAGGCAGATCGGTCCGTCGGTTTGTCGGTCCGTCGGTCTGGGTGGTCAACGGGGTAGGGCGATGGTCGGGTGGGAGTGTTCCTTTTTTTTGAGGGTTCTCGTCTTTCATTCGCTCAAGAATATGTTTTATTCTGCCCTGTCGGTTTTGAAGGGAATCTATCACTACTGGACTTGTTTGGTTCAGGGGACGTAAAAGCAAATGGAGGCTTTTTGAAGAAGCATTGAACTGCCGGCACCTGGTCAGGTGCAGTTGCACGAGGGCTGGCGCGGTCGCGTGCCTTGGCCAAAACTGGCCGAAAGGGGTTTGGGAGCAAACGGGCGAAATCTGACTGAGATGAGGCGTGGCGGAGTTTTGCAAGTAGGGAACACATGAAGCCGTGTAATTTACCGTGTGTGGTTAGAGTACTTGCAACATCTTGCAATCTTTGCCCAACGGACAGCATCTCCAAGATTGGAAGTTGAGGTATTCTTGTTGCTGTCATTCTCTTGAACCCTGCGTATGGCTCAATCCATAATGGAGTTTGAGGGAGGGCAGCTACGGTTGATTCCCTATTGCGAGTCCACCAGCCACACATCATGGCAAAACAGGCCTAGCTGCTCTTCCAGCGAGAATAGCCCAGACACCCGCAAGTTCAAGCCCAACAGGCCGATTGGACAGATTTCGAAAGACGTCTCTGTTGGGGTGCCCCAATTTGAAGCATTCGCGGTTCCCTATTCTAGAAACACCCATTTGGGTTTGGTGTCCATTAGCTTTGAATCGAGCGCATTGCCCACTAATTGAGAGCCAGTCGCTATAACCAATGACACCGTATGGTCCCTAATGGCTATGGCTCTGAATCAGCATATTGGGTCCATCTTTTTGAGGGCACTTGTTTGGGGCTTATCTTTTCCAGGGAAATCCAAAGATCGCCCCCTTGAAACCCCTAGGTGTGGCGCTGCCTGGAGCCTGCCGCGGTGCGGAGGCAGCTTTTTCGCGTTGAAACCGTTTGGGTCGGAAGCCATTTGGGTGACTAGGTCCCCCAGTAGAGCCTTTTTGTCCTTTTTTGGCGGAGGGTTCCCCTACTAAGAAAGACTACAGAACAAAAGGGTACCCTTATTCTAACCTCTCTACGAAGGACCTAGGTGAGGTGTCCTTTTACAGGTTGGGTTTCAAGGCACACTAAGCGAAAACGAGCCATGTTGTGGGTTTCCTTGTGTTGCTTCCCCACTGGTCCATGTGAAGATCATCGGTAGATATGGTCCCCAACAAGTTGCCATCGATTTCGCGGAGGTTCGGTCGTTGACATTGGCCAGCGACGATCCGAAGCACTCCGAAGCGCGTCGACGCACCGACGCATCGATCCGCGCGAGGCAGCTCCCTGTGAGCTTTTGTTTGGTGATGAGCAAGCCGGGGGCCCGGAGTCGCGGCCGAATTCGATGCGGTCTGCGAGTTTTTTGGAGTTGGCTCGAGCTCACCGATATTTTTTTTGGGGGGGGAACGAGGGGAACCAGGGAGTTGTTGATGTAGGTTCTTTGGCGAAAGAATGAGCCATAAGCTTTTGAGGCTCCTCCATACCTTTTGAGATGCTCAAAAGGCATGGTTTGGGTTCTTGGAAAGGTGGGAAACTCCTGAGAGAAGGTCAAAGGAAGAGGGATCCGATTCTTATTTCCGCTTTTGGAATTATTGCATGAAAGAGCGGATGAAGATTTTGTCCCTTGACCAGGCGAACATTGTTGTTTACAATAATTACGGTGATTGATTGTATCAAGGCCCCTGAAACGTCAGGAGCGTTTTTTGTGGTGAGCGACAATGAAATAGCACGTAGACCCGTTCAATTTTGGCCCACGCCCTCTACAAGAACCAATTGTATCCAAGCCACAAATCCCTAAGCACCAACTAAGGGTAAGGTGAAGTTTACTATCCCGCCAATCTACATGGAACCTGACAGGGACCCGGCCCCTTTAAAAGGAGAAGGGTCCAAGCCAGCAAAACCCCCCGAAACGTCAGGTTCCATGATTCTTGGTGGGAGGGTAGACTAATCTAGCTGTACCTTCCCCATTCTCTTCTTCAAAAGATGGGCCAAACCCTCGAAAATAGATGGCTTTTAAAGAGAAGGATGAAGACAGTGCACATGGCAAGCAAACCTTAGAACTAAGGGTAAGGTGAAATTTGGACCTTCTATTTGCTTAAGCATATGCTTCTATTTTTTCTCGTTGGTTTCAATCGGAATCTATCTCTACCGGGCATATTTTCTCATTTTTGTCCAGGCGGCGAAAACGCGAATGGAAGAGAACCGTTGCCTGAGGCTTTGTCTCATCATGGCCCTTGAAAAGCTGGACGCCGGCTCCGTGCGGGTGCGGTGGCCAAAGGAAGCAGGGGTACAAAAGCGAGCCGTTTGGGATCCAAAAACCGGGGGGGAGGGGGGTATGGCGAGTCAGGGGTTGGACCATGTGGCAAGCAATCTGAGGAATTGTGGCTCTTCGACTGGAAATCAAGGGCTGGCATCCCCTAATTCCTTAAATCGTGAAACTGGGGGAGGGGTGCTGATGGTTCTTTTTCCCCTTGCTGTCGGGAAGACTCGAAACGTGGAATAGGGGGACCCCGCACCCCCTTCTGGCAGGGGGGATAGGTTGAAATGCTCGTTATGCTTAGAACGCATTGCAAGGCCCTGGATCGATTGAAGCCATCCAGTAAGTTGCTCTCAGAACTCCCATTCAAAGCCAAATTGTCGCTTCCTAGGATTTAATTTTTTGATCCAGCAAATCCACAGGGGCATCTTCGAGACCAGCGGCATGTTCTTCAGTCACCTGACTTCTGTCAGGTGACACGGAATGAACGCCAGGATCGGCGCAGGTTAGAGTTTGAAGCGTCATTTTCCAGACGGATGATCGAGCATTGCGAGTGCTTTTTTCTTGCTTGGAGCTACCAAAGGCTTGGTCCAGGGATCCATGTCAGCAATAGGTGGCCTTTTTAGCTTGGTTTGCTTAGAACTATCTGGCACTGGTTTAGATTTGTTTCATTCCATTTACTAGGGCCATCTGCGTACTCATGAACTCCTCTTCGAACCCAGTTGGGATGGATGAAGCCCTACCGGGACGGTCAAACCATTGTTCATCCGCAGTATGCCTCAACGTGCAGCTTCTTTCTGGATGCTTTGCACATTTGACCGTGCGCCTTCATCGACCTTGAGGTCCTGTGCCAATCCAGCCTCCCAGTAGTGGGCGTGTGTGGCGCCTGCGCCCCGGAGGGACATGGGCGGACATGGAGGCATTCCAGCGAATGATGGCCTCTGGCGGGAGAAGACACGCTGTTGCCAGTCATAAAGCTGTAAAGGTTCCCTGTTTTGGGGCTCCTGCCGTGCAACTACACTGTGAAGCGCCTGCCAGGTTCCCTCCCAGGTTTCAAGCGGCAGTGAAGAAATGGTTCCGCTCAGGGTGGCTCAGAAGCAACATGCGGAGTCCTTGAGCAAAGCTCGACATGAGTGGCTGACACTTGAAACACGGTCAGTCAGAGAGACAAACAAGCATGAACCATGCGTGAATATGCTGGCATAATTAATTAGTAGGGAATTATCGATTTTGTTGGTGTGCTCTTGTTTCCTTGGATTTTCAAAGTAGAAAGAGTGTCAGACAATATGACCCATTCAAGGTTACTTGCCCTTCGGACAAGTTGTTGGAGAGAACATTCATGTGGCCTGTAACATGAGTGAGTTCGCCATGAGGGTGGAGGGCGGGTTATGCGGGTGTCTCCCGCGCCATTTTGGGTCAAGGGAGCAAGCCACCCGCTGCTGTGTAAGCACCGACTTTGTCACAGGCGGCGGGTGGGTGGGTGGTGGACAGGTGACACCCACTGACACTGCGTCAGTGGGTGCAGGCGGGAGGGTGAGTGAAGTTGATTTCACTCATTGTCACCCTCCCGGGCGTTGAGTGCAGCTCACTCGTTCGAAGCCTGTCAGCGAAGCCCAATTTGCTCCCAGCATTCAGGGCAACTCGGCCATGGATCCGACACCAGACGAAGCCGCGCAGCTTCAGACTATCGGTGATGTATTCGCCTGGGCAGGTCTGGTATCTTCGGAGATGGAAGCTGGGACTACATTGTCAGGGTCACTTGCTGCTGTACTTGGCGTCAAGCCGGGCACGAAGCCGCGTGTCCTGGGAGTGTCCTCTTGCAGTGACTTCGAGAATGTGCTGCAGTCCTGGAGAATTCGGGTTGGTGATCATGATCGTGCGCCAACTATTGCAGAGTGGGGCATGGCACGGCTGGTGGGAAGGGCGTGCAGAACAGTTGCTGGCGCCACAGAGCTGGAGGCTCTCAAGGCACAGCTCGCGCAGGCTCAGGCTGCGGCGCCCCAGACATTACCACCTGCAGTGGCAGGAAGTCTTAGCTCAACTGCAACTCGGAGAATCAAGATGTCGGCCATCATCTCACAGGTTGATGAGAGCGAAGTCTTCATGATGGAAGAAAAGAAAGTGATCAAGTGCTATGCTCGATACGAAGCTGTGTTTGGGGCTGGTGAGCGTCCTGCCAAGGACTGCGAGCCCACTACAGAGCAGATCTCCTGCGTCGCACACCTGCTTTCTCAGGGCCAGCCGCCCTACACAGACTTCAGCATCTTCGGGCCTTTCGGTCACAGGATCATGAAGCGCATCAAACTTCAAGGCATGGCCATCGACAGAGACGGCTCACTCAAGATGATTGAGCTCTATGGACCAAACAACCTGGGAACATGGTTGGCGTCCTACAATGTGCTCTTGAACATACTGGTAATGTTGGACGCAGTGGATCTGGGGCATTTGCAGAAATACAGGTCCCACGTGGAGCGCTTGGCAGAGCGCTACGGGCCGAAGGTTTGGTCAGTGATTTACCAGGCTGATGTCCGTTGCCGCTTGGAGCACATGGAAAGAATCAGGAGGACTCTGCAAGCGGACCACGACAAGGCCGAAGCTGCTGGGAAGGACACGGATTTTGACGGAGCCTGCGCTTCTCATCCTGGCTAAGATCACGCAGCCCTCAGAGATTGTCCAGGGTGACGCAAAGGTGAGCAATGCTGGCAGTGGCTCGGACATCAGGGAGACAGCGCCTGGCCCTGCGCGCATGGCAGCAGACCAGGACGATAGAGGCCTTCGTCCGCGGAAACAAAATAGGACTGGGCGGGTTCACCAAGTTGCGGACGGCCGTTATACCCACAACAGGACTGGTTTTCGTCTGTGCAGTGGGTACCAATCAGGCCAATGCAGAGACGCAACGCAGGGTGTCTGGTGCTCGCATCAGTGGGACACGGTACACCAGTGCAACAAGTGCCTGGGTACGCACCCTGGAGATCGGTGCCCGCACGAGGAAGTCCGGACGCCAGGTTTCGTCAAGCGTGGCGAGGGAAAGGGCAAGAACAAAGGCGCCAAGAAAGGAAAGGGGAAAGGCCGCCCCCAGTACTGACTTCAGCCAGCAGATGTTTGCATGCCACCCCCGGCGGCAAGCTCTTGTTCAATTTCGAGCATCGCCCGGGGGGGGAATTCAGCAGCCAATTTCAAGGCTATGCCTCCGGCACCCGCTACAGAAAATTGCGGGCGCAGGGGGCGTGTGTTGTACCTTTTCAGTGGTCCTTTGAGACCTTCCGATGGCCTGGGTAAGTTCGTACAGGATCTGGGCCTGGATTGCACTTGCATGGACATTGAAATCAGCGACTCTCACAACTTGCTTGATCAAACGTGCTGGGACAAGGTTGAATCCAACTTTGACAGCGTTGTTGCAGGTTTGGCTTCGCCATCATGTAGCACCTTCACCGCTGCCAGGCGACGTGACGGGGGCCCTCAACCATTGAGATCTGCAACAGGCCCGGGTCGTTACGGATTGAAGAGTTTGAGGGCAGTCGACGCCGCCAAGGTCAGGGAGGGCAACGCGTTGGCTTTGAGAGCGTATTCCATGGCAATAAATCTGCATAAGAGGAAGAAACCATGGATTGTTGAACAGCCTCATAGGAGACCTGGATCCACTTCGATGTGGAATCTGGATGAGTTTGAATCCCTGCTTGCAAAGGATGACGTGTTTCTCTACACTTTTGCTCAATGTCAATTTGGCTGCAGCGCAGAGAAGCTGACAGATTTCATGTCGAACATTCCGGCAATGAACCAATTCGCTGTTCATTGCAATCACACTGAGAAGTGGTGGAGGATTCCCTGGTCAGGTGAATGGCTTTGGGCTGCGCACCCACCGCTCAAGGGCAAACAGTGGGCAATCTGCGCAGACAAATGGCATCCGTTGTTGCTGAGGAATCATGAGCCGCCAGGCGATTTCATCACACGATCAGTCGCGGCCTATCCGGGGTTGCTGAACAAGGCTCTGGCAGAAGCGCTGGTCTCGGCCACACAAGTGCTCAAGCCTGTGCAATTGGTTCGCCATGTGACGGTCAACGACAAGGAAGCAACCATTCGGTATAAGCTTCCGATGAGAGGCACGCAGGATCAGACAGCGCCGCAAGATGATCGCAATAGTTTGAGGAATGTGTACCGTTGGGTCACAGACCGTCACCGGTACATCGGCGTCCAGTGCAGAAATATCATCGAGGAGCTTCTGGACAGCAACCCCAACATCCAGGAGCAGGTCCTAGAGTCATTCGGCCGCAAGAGCGCGCCTTCCATTGAGAACGAGCAGTGGGTGGACGACCTCAGAGCACGCATCGCAGAGCTTTTGGTCAGGAACAGGCGCGATGACCAGCCAAAGCATTGTGACACCAGCGAGGTTGACACCGGAATCTACAGCACAGTCATTAGAGGGCGGTTCTTCACTACTGGGCGCATGTGGTGGGCGACCCTGCAGAACTTTGCGCACGGTGGACTTACAAGGGGCTCCGGCTGGGCTCCAGGTTCCCACCAATGCCCTGGATGGAGTGTTTCCGTGTGTAGACGCTGACGAGGAGCACACCTCCTTGGACAATCTGGCAACAGATTATGGGAACTTCCAGAACTACACGGGAGTGGAAGACAGTTCTGAAGCCTTTGACGCATTGGAAGGTTATGCGCGGAAGGGCTATCTGGCCAAGTTTCAGACGCTGGAAGAGGTTACGTCCTTCTTAGGCGAAGACCCAGTTCTCTCAAAGCTGGGCTGCATCGTGAAAGAGAGGACCAACCCTGACACAGGCCAAGTCGTTAAAAAGGTCAGGATCATCCTTGACTGCAAACGTTCTTGTGTGTCCTCAATGGCGCGAAGAACGCACAAGGCTGTCCTGCCCAGACTGACTGACGCTGTTTACAGCGCGCTGGAGCTGATGAAGGGTTGTGTGGACTCGGAGCAATCTTTGCTCGTGGCCGACATTGTTGACGCGTTCTGGCTGATCCCTTTGAGGGCTGAAGAACGACGTTTCTTTGTGGCTCGCTTGAGGGGGCATTATTATGTTTTTCTGCGAACTGCACAGGGGTCGCGAGCAGCCCCGCTCACTTTCGCTGCGATTGCTGCAATTGGTGCACGCTGGGTGCAAAGCTTGTCGGATGAGTTTCGCATGCAGATGTATGTGGATGACCCGCTCACGGTTCTGCGCGGTTCCTGGGACAGGCGAAGACGTTTGGCGGCAACTATTGTCATTGCTTGGTCTGTGATGGGTTTTCCCATTGCAAGTCACAAAGCAGTGCTTGCAAACACGCTTGTGTGGATTGGAATGACGCTCAGCATCAGACCGTCTTCGGTTCATGTTGAAGTGCCGGGGCCAAAAGTGTCTGAGCTCTTGGCGCTTGTGGAAGAAGCAAGTTCAAGCAACGTCGTCAGCAAGAAAGCCCTGCGGACACTCTTGGGAAAATCCATGGCCATTGCTTCCATCGTCTTTACATGGAGGCCCTTTCTCCAGGAGCTCTATGCGGTGCTTCACTCGGAGGATGGTAACGCGCCGCAGGGCTGTGTATGGTCCAAGCAGATGAGACCGGCTCTGACTTGGCTTCGCAGGGTGAGCTTGCAGTTCACCTTGGATGCCTACCTCAACCGCGGCCCCAAGGTCCTCATCACCTGGGACAGCTCACCATTTGGCATGGGGGCTACCCTGGAGATCGAAGGTGCAACGGTAGAGTTCTTTGCCATCCCCATTACGGAACTTGACCAAGACGTCCTGGGCTACAGGTCTGGAGATTGCACGGGTCAGCAAGCCTGGGAAGGCTTGTGCGGGCTCATTGCGCTTCGGCAGTGGAAGCAATTCTGGCTGCAGACGAGGGCCAGGCTGAGCTTGCGCAATGACAGCAGTGAAGGGGCGTT